AGATCGAACCCTGAAGCAACCTCTAGGCTGATCTAAGTCAGGGCATGGCTAACTCACAGATCGAACCCTGAAGCAACCTCTAGGCTGATCTAAGTTAGGGAAGCACGGCTAACTCACAGATCGAACCCTGAAGCAACCTCTAGGCTGATCTAAGTCAGGGCATGACTAACTCACAGATAGAAGAGTGGTTCAGTTAGATTTTGCGCCGGGAAGGAGGAAAACCGGAAAACCCGGCCAAAAACCCTCGAATCAAGGGAGAGACCTAACAAACTCTACTCACATGTGATGCCGAGTCCATGAATCGAACTCGAGACCACAGAGGTGAGAAGCGAGTGAACTACCGCTACCTTTACACCCGGCTTTCAAAACCTTGGAGAAAAGGTTCTTTTTATATAAATTTCAAGTTTTGGCTAAAGCAAGTCACGCGTTACTCCACTGCGTTACTCGTCTGCGTTACTTGATGACCGGCGATTACATTACGTACCTAAAAACTGTGGCGGATCTACGTAACCACGCTGGGCCTTCAAGGCGTAGAAGAAGAACATCATGATTGAGAAGGTCATGAGGCCAAAAATGAACCACCAGATGACCTACAAAATGATATTACTGTCACTGTGATTTTTTCTTCAATTTTGCCAATCGTGTAAGATGGTAGAGATTAGCAAAGTACCCCCACGGTACTCGTAATTTACCTATTACGCATGTTCTTATTTGATATCCGAGCCCATCCCACACGGCTTACTGCCTCATCTATCTAGTACCCCCACGGTATGTACGTGCGGCCAAACGTCGTACATCCTACATCAGTAAATGTCATGATCCTCACCCTTCAAATGCGTAACAGAAATACCATACCAATCTACTAGAAAGGAATTTGTACGTGCCGCGGTAACCCAGTATTGCGATTGGATATTATTAATTTGCTTCGCCCACTGCAACTTATAGTCAAATCTGTACATGAGCTACGGGGTATGGACTACTCATACAAGGGCGGATCCAGGGTTTTTTTGAAGGGGGGGTCTCAGGGGTAAATTTTGTGGGCAAAGGAAACCCAGTCGCATTTTTACCACAGGAAGCCTATTTGACCTCAGGAATGACTGGGGGGTCGCGACCCCCCGACCCTCCCCCTGGATCCGCCCTTGTCATAATAGAAGAAAGAAGTGTGCAATGCCATATAATATGTCTTGCACGTCGAGTGAAAACTCCACAGTGCATTGCGCATTACGTGGAAAAAACGCGCATTTCTTTTAAAAGCTTTAAACTTACAGGATTTCCAAGGAGGTAAACTCTGTTGTCTGCGCCAGAAAATACTTGACCCTGAAGCACAAATTCCAATTCAACTTTGTTACTTTATTTTTAAAACATACGACATTTAGTATTACTTTTCAATTGAGGGGAAGCCTAAAGACGTGATTAAACGGAACAATTTTCTCTGAAACTTGTCTCGCAACAGCGTTGTAACACAAGTTGCATGAGTGCTTACACGCTGCAACGTAGACGTGTTTGTTGCCAAAAGTAGAAACGAATTTCACACTTTTTGCGACGATTTCTATAACTTGTCTCGCAACATTTTTTCAAATTGCGCTGCAGGTTACACGCTTCAATGCTCCATGTAACGACGCAGTTGTGAAACAAGTTGTAAAAAAATTGTTCCGTGTAATCGCGCCGATCGACACCGCATACCCTATAGTTTATAGGCCACTGCCATGGTTGAGAAGTCACTTCGCCTTCTTTTGGCTTGAATCCTGCATTTGTCTAAAAAATATCATCACCATTAGTTGCGTGGGTTACAGGAAAATACAAAAAAAGAAATTACATTTTTTCTCCCTAAAATTTATTTGTGCCATTTCTTTCAAATTTTCTTGTCTATTTTGAAACAATTCTGTACGAGACTTGACAGTCTTAAAAATGTGATTTAAGAATACTTTGAATAATCTTAGAACTATTATGGTGTTGATTTTAGAATATAAGCTACTTACTTGTGCCATTACTAAGTGCGATTCATATATAGTCTCAAAGAAGGATGGTTTGTATAGTTCTGGACTTGCTTTCGGAACTGGAGAAAAAAAACAAGCCATGAAATGAGTGTTTCTATCTAAAATGAGGTACAAATCAAACATCTATTCCATACCTCGGTCATTCTCATGGCCTTCAACATTCCACAAGTTATTTTGATGATAAATCGTTGGATTACAGGACACTTCTAGTTGTTCCCATCCCCTGTACAGCAACAAAGACACAACACTTGAGTAAGGAATTAAACAAAACATTTCCCCGTCATATTTGAAATTGTTTCCACTGAAAAACAAAAGCTTTTAAACATTGGGCAATTTTGACCGTACTCCTCCCCCTCTAAAAATGGATTACTATATCTGCAGTTACAGTGCTAATATTGCAAAACCGTGGGCACCTAGAAATCTAAAATCTAATTGGATTCACCACTCTATGGTGGAAGGAAAGCCTAACAGGTTTTCGCAACCCACTTGAAATGATAAGGCTAACAATAGATCGAATACGAATTTAGAAGTCGAGTTTTGTGGAAAAACTGGAGCCTGAAAAGCAATGAATACACAGAGCCAAACTCTGACAAATTAATTAGGAGAAAGGTGTTCTTTGAACCTACAGTTGGTATACAACATGTCGTGCTATAAGAAAGAAATACTAACCATTTAGGTAGTGTCTTTGTGCTCATGTGTAAAGCACAGCCAAGGTTGACATGTACGAGTCTAAAGACGGTTTTCACTGTCTTGACACGATTATCTGCATTTGCACCACTCACAACTTCTACCCTCCAGAAATCGTTTGCATCTCCCTTACCATTCTGAAATAGTGAATAAGAAGATTAGTCTGTTAATTATTACTATATACTGAGGGGCAAGTTAGTGTTGGTTAAATACTTCAAAATCATAGTGCAGTGTGCTCAGTGAATTCATGAACCTCTGACTTAGGAAACTTTATCCAAGTTTCATGTCTTTACAGAGTTGAACAGTTTAGCTCTTGAACAAATAGATGGATAGAAATTTTAAGATTTGTAAAGTTACTAATTTTAAGTTTTTTGAAAAGATCATATTGTTACTAGAATCTCAACCAAAATATTGAAAGAGTGTTATTGCAGTCCTTGTCAAGAATGTGAGTATATTTTAAGATTACTCACATCTCCATAAGCTGTTACTTGGTAATGGTGCTTGGTCAAAGGCGGCTTTTCATTATGGCTGTGTACATTTCTCTTAGTCCTATTCAAATTATAAAGAATACTGCTTAATAATTTAAACATGTACATGGTGTACATTGGTGTTTTGGTGGAGAGGAAGGGTCCTCCTCTTCCTGCAGGCCAGGAATGGAACCCAAGATCTCAGAGATGAGTGCATTAGTTACTGGCTATACCATCCTTCATTTCCCAACAATGGTATGATTTTATAGGCAAAGTATTATAATAATAGTGCTTCCTGATTGCATGAGCAAAATCATCCAAATTGCCATCGTGACAAAAAAGAATTTTACTAGGCTTCCGTCAAGTGTTAATTCTTCATGACATTGTTGATAGAGGTTACAAAGATGCATGTCTATGAAATGTCATAGAGACCCCTTGATTGACATCCATCGTAACCCACTTAATATGTTGCAATGAAAATTCTACACATGCTACATTGAGAGGCACTGTAAGTAATCTTAAAGTTCATTTTATCGTGTCAAAATTCTTACGCGACATGCTCCAGTCTGATCCAATCTCCATTCTTTACAAACTCCACAGGTTTTTCGCTGTCTGTGGATAAAGAAAATATACTGTCTTATGCTCAAGAGTATCCCATTTTATAATAAATATATTTTAGTATATCATATTATTATGATATCATATGCCCAACCCCATCTAATAATTGAGCATAATAATTATTGTCTTACCATATTGTTCATATGCTTTCTTCACCAGCCATTTATTATTGTCATCTTTATGTGAGTAACCAGTAACCTGTCATTGAAAGCAAAAACAATTTTTGACCACCTCTTTTTCCCTTGCTACCTATCTAAATTTCATCAACGAATGTCTAAGCTTGTGCCTTGATCAGATTATCCCCTTCTTATGCATGGGATAGGTAGGAATTTTTCTATGAACTACATATGACATTCATTTCCTAAATCCTTGGAAATCCAAAATTTTCCTGTGCATATGTGACATCAAAGCAGATGAATTTGGAGGACAAAAAAAATGATTTCAATCTCCTGAGAATTTGAAACCTATTGTTATGCCCTCCAAATTGAGCTGCATTTGGACGTGCTGCAAGGGGTCTATAGCTGATAAAATGCATAGTGTAATTAGCAGTAGATGAATGTAACTGACCTGCTGTTGCTCTGGAGGGTGTTCTTTAGGATACAAGTGAGTGTGAGAGTGAAGTAAAGCACCACCACCTCTATGGTTCTTTAGCGTGATGATGGAGCCAAATGCAAGATCTAAAAACATTATTATATTAGTGAACATTAATTACCAAAGAATGAATAAATGGTGATGGATGGACAATTGGACGAAGGGCGGGAGGGAGGGATGGATGTATGCATCCCCCTAGATGGTCAAATGAACAAATAATAACAGATTTAGAGGCATCAAAATCATTTTTAAGATGCTCTAGCTCTGTGGCTATCACTGACAATTTTTCACTTAATATTTGATATAGACGATACAAACCAACTAACCTTCTGGGACTGAATACATGTAGAGCTGGTTTCCTTTTAGTGTTGATTGAAAAGCAGAGCTGAAAAACCCATCGCCTGGCCCACTGTGTGAGGAAATATAATTACAAAAAAGACTAGTTATACGTTTTACATGACTTTAAACTAGCACTACTGGCTGAGAACCTGTGAAAATCCTGTGAAATTTCTAAAATACAGAGATGTTTTTCACAGGTTTTTCACAGGATTTTCACAGGTTCTCAGCCAGTAGTGTAGGGCAATGTCTTGCCTTCACTCATTTTAAGATTCTGAGTGTTTGTTTCATCAGAGAATACAATAAACTGGTATTACTCATCTACACAACAAGCTGACTTGCTGATGATAAAATAGCACCATAACAATGATGATGATGATGACAACGATATGATGATGATGATGATAGGGGTGTTTTATTCTATTGATTTACTTACGTGTTTGGAAGCATCCTGAAGTGCACAGCAAACCAGAACAAGTAGATTGTGATTGGAACAACAATGAGACCTAACACCCTGGCCATTAAATGTTTGCCAACGTCAAACTAAAAACAGAAGAATACAAATCATGATGTACATTATGCATGTACTGCTGGCATGCCAGGACAGTCATACTCTCTTTTGAGGACAAGGGAGCTTGAGTGAGTAAAATATATATGATATGGGTACAGGGTTTCAAATAATATGGTTGATTAGGCGCTGGTCATGACCACAAGCCAAATAAGATTTAGCTTTAGTCTTACCTCATTTGTAGCTAAACATTACTGGTCAAAATGACCGGTAAGGCAAAGATAATTTGACCAGACAAGTACCAGTTCTGGCCAGACATTGTCTAATGTTCAGCCATTGTTTTATGCCCTGGGATATTTTCTGGGCGGATAAAATACATCACTCACCAACGAGATTTCCAGATTACCCAGAATTTCCCACAATTCCATAGCAGTGGTTAAACCAGCCCAAAGTATCACAAACAGTCCTACCCACTTGCAGCTGAAATGTAGATACAGAGCAAAGAAATATTGGAAAAAGAGATAARATTGAAAGCAACTACATCAGTATTTTAAGGAGAGGTTCAAATGTACATGGAACAAAATATTTGAAGGTAAATAAGCTTTGTTTTACCTAAATGCACATGAAAGAGAGATTCCTGTTGCAAACATCCAGATCCACCATTGAATGGTATATGGTCTGAATAATAAAATACAAAAAACAGTTTTTAAAATGTAATCAATAAACCAATCCAAGCTTTGCTTGAGTGCCCACCCAAACAATGGGTAGTTTTCCAAATGGAATACTGAATGTCAGACCACGAACTCAAATTCAGAAGATTTTTTTTTTAAAGCTATCGATTTTTTTTCTTAATGTGTAGTTCCAAAAAATATCCATACACCCCTCACGGAGGAAGTTTTTTAAGATACCCCCCTACCCCCTGAAAATTCCAATTTTCTTCCATACAAACTCTGTAATTTTTGTTCTTTCTCTGACCCCCTACTCTTTGGAAATTCCAAATTCCTCTGTGGGGTGAGTATGGATAATTTCTGGAACTACACAATGTACCTTTAGAATGCCTCATTTCTAAGACAGACATTTACAATTTTCAGTAATCGTTGCCTGTTCCATGCTGTATATTAAAAACATATTTTTCCTTGACCGTGGGATCGGTGTATTGACCTGATATTGATAGTAAAATCAATAATCTCATGTGTAAGGTCCAGAAAATACCACAAATACAGGGATTCCCTTAAACTCAAGATTCAACTCCTTTTTCCCACCCCTTGGAAATTCTGATTCCTCTCTTGATGAAGGCATGACTTTTTAAAACAATTTACTTTATACTCACTCATTTTTGTATGACTGGAACTTTGTAAGGCAGAATGCAGACAACATAATGAAAAACATTAGGATTGGATCCAGGAGAATGTATTGAGATATTGTGATACATCCATTATCTAAAATACCAAAAGTACTAATACTAAACATGGATACTACAGTATGGTACATTGCACACTGATAGACCATATCATGTACTTGTAAAATCAACCCTTTAGAACTTAAACTGTTTAGAGCTATGATCTGGGATAAATAGTAATGGACTGTATAGTGGCTGCCAGAGGCACCTCTAAATGCTTTCAGTCCAACCCCATTAACCTGCACCACTGCTGTACGTACTTGAACGGTGATAAGCAATAACAAGTTTTTTAAAAATAGAATTACCTATAAAAACTATGTACCTACCAAATATAATAAAGCAAGCAGCTAAGACAGATGCTGCTGTTGATTTGGTTAGTTCCCAGACCATCAAGTAAGCAAGAGGAACACACAGAGAACCAAGCATTGTACACAGCTATAGAGTGGAAATTGAAATAAACTCTTGTCATATAAGAACTTAGAAATGATGGGACCAAAATATTTATGGGTAAAATATGGATGATCTTTGGATCAAATGGGCAATGTTTAACAAGTCCTCATCAATTCATAACATACCAGTCTCATTCCAACATAGCTGTGTTCTCCATATTCATCTCCTGGCTTGTCGAAAGCAAATGATCCATCATATCCACTCAGATAACCCGCTAAAGCTATCAACATCTATTGGCATTCACAATAAGAGGTAATATCAATTAGTAATTTAGTAAATTCGCATTGCATACAAATTAATTGCATGCAGCATGGCAGCCAAGCAGCTTCCCAAGTATTGCATGTAGCATGGTAACCAAATGGCTTTCCTTGTATTGCATGAAGGATAGCATCTAAATGGCTTCCCTTGCATTACATGTATCATAAAAGCCAAATGGCTTCCCTTGTATTGCACGCAGCATGGCAGCCAAATGGCTTCCCTTGTATTGCATGTAGCATAGCAGCCAAATAGCTTTCCTATTATTGGATATAGCATATCTGCCAAATGGCTTCCCTAGTTTTGCATGTAGCATGGGCAGCCAAATAGTTTTCCCAGAATTGCATATAGCATAGCATCCAAATGGCTTCCCTAGTATTGCATATGGTATGGGCAGCCAAATGGCTTCCCTAGAATTGCATATAGCATAGCAACAAAATGGTTTCCCTATATAGTGTTGCATGTAACATGCCATCTAAAAGGCTTCCCTATAGTATCACAATATGTAGCATAGCAGCCAAAAGGCTTCCCTATACTATTGCATGTAGCATGTCAGCCAAAAGGCTTCCCTAAAGTATTACATGTAGTATAGCAGTCAAAAGGCTTTCCATTACTGGATAGATTATTTAAATTGCAATTCAGTTCACATTTACCTTGGCTAGAGGAGGGTGGACGTCAAAGAAAAATTCACCCTTGATATAAAAATTTGCATGTTTTCCAAAATGTGTTTCATCCCAACTAAAAAAAAAAAAAATGAGAAAAAAATTCACGAAGTGTGAAAAAAGAATCATGATAATCTTCAACTTGAAGGAAATTTTCAACTACCAATGACAAATTTTCTTTAATTTGAAAATCATTCTAAATGAATAATAAATGAATAGATGTAGAGTTCAGCAGAATGATGTTTAACAGTCTTTTATAATCCTAATATATCAAATTATTTTAAAGATTTAATTTCAAAATATATCTAAATTCAAGCTATTAGGGTTCTAGGATTCATACTCTTTCATGGCTTCCAAAAATGCTTATTCTATTTACAAAATTAAGCAGTAAAAGCTAAATATACTAGTGCCCCAAGTTAAACACAAAAACAGCTACTTGTAAAATAACAACTTTGTAGCCAAAATCTTCTGACTTCAATGACCTGTCACACAACTGATGTACAGGTGCTGTTATGACATCAATGTCCATGGTGCTCCTATTGACATCTAATTGACCGAATCAGAACTCCTTAGCTTCAAATATACTACACAAAATAAAAATATTAACATCAAAGATCAAAGAACGACTAGATAATACAAGTGGGCTTAATTTGTACATGCAAAAGTGTAAAAAGTTTGTAAAAGTTGAACGCAATTTGAATTGTATTTGCAAAGATCTAAGCTTATGTATCTGTAATTTGATTAACAATCTCAAAAAGATGACAAACTTTATAAAAAGCTTTGGTATCTTTGCGGTATTTTAAGCTATTCTTGTAACTAACTATTCTATCTAACTATTCATGAGCTTGAATTATGGACTTTACTTGAAGTACATCAATTAAATATTTTTTTTATGTCAAAACACAAAAGCTCAGCTGTTTATTTTAGTCAAGGGTGTAGTCCAAACATCATAAAATTAACTGAACACAACTAAAATAAACTACCTACAAAGCATCTAAGCTTTAACTTAACGACAAAAAAAACAATTCTAAGACAAAATTTCGAAACCCGGTTCTTTAGGAAATTTTAAAGTTCGAAAGTCTAAGTTTGCTTTGCGTCTTTCTTCCTCGTATTAAAAGCGTGGATCGAAAACATTTTCATACTTACCAAATGTGCCTAGGAACGCTTAGGTTATAAAGTCTAGTAGCAAAACTTAGGACTACAATGCATAAAAACGCTAAAATCCGCCCCAGAATCTTTAAGTTCAGATTTTCAAAATCATTTCCAGCTTGTTTTACGATCGCTTTAGGTTCCTCTTTCTTTACTGTTGTCGTTATTTCTTTCTCTTCTTTTGGCCCGTTAGTTTTGTCTGCGGACTTTCTTTTCTTTTCTTTCTTCGTAGGAGCCATAACCATGATTCAAACTAAAAGTTAGCTACACTAAAATCATTTACAATCAACCGAGACATTTGGAAAATAAGTAGAGTAACCAGAGTATAATCCAGAGTATAACCCAGAGTCTAAGAACTGATGGTCCCCAGTCTCTTTTCCAAATTTGTAAACCGGAAGTAATATTTTCTACTTCCGGCGGGTTTGCTAGATTAATTTTCAAGAAGTGCCGAGAAGAAGTATCAAGAATTATATCAAAAACTACGACTTATGTTAGGTTTTCAGACTCTCCTCGTGTCATTATTTCAATATTATGACAGAATGTTTAAGAAAAACTGAAGAAATTCTAGGAGAAAATGAGAGTTTAAAATGTTTGAGTGCCGAACAGAGCCAAGCAATTTCATATAACAAGTGAATTTAAAAATTCATTTGTTATAGCTTAAAGTTTTCTCTCTCCATAAGGAAATAAAAATAACTAGCTTATGTAGATGTTTTTTTGCAACAGAAAGCAAAAATTTACAGTAAAAGCCAAGAAATAGAACTCACAGATTATAAGATGTTATCAAAGACGAACAATCAATTTATAACTAGAGTGGAAAAATGAAAGAGAGAAATCCCATTCTTTTCTACTTACCAAATATGAGGGGGATCATTTAACTTGTAAAGTCTGGTGGCCAAAGTGAGTATCACCACTACGACAAGGGCTATCAGAGCTCCACAACTGCTACACATTTTCTGGAAGTTTAGTTTCAATGACTTCGCTAAAGTGGACTTCGTTTTGCTTGAGGGAAAAAGTTTCGGAGGTTTTTTGCTACCGTTACTTTTCTTGGTATTATCAGGCTTGTTTGTAGAGCTCCTCTTAGCCTTACGTAGACGAACGCTACCATTCTGGCGGGATTCGTCACTCGCTTCTTGCGATTTCTCTTTCGCGGACTTTTCGATATCATTTTGTTGCTCTTTTTCTTCTGTGTCCGAAAGTTTATCCTTCTTTTGCTCGGCTTCCTCCTTCATTTTTATGCCTAAAATCTCGCTGTTGCCTTTTGGTTGAGAGTGGTCTTAGGCTTGCATCTTAGAGAGAAAGAAATAGCACACGTTTACCGTTCAGTAGATAAAGAAAAACTTGGTTTAATAAGTTTACACGCAGGCTGAATGCCATCGAAGACGCTGGTCGTGATCCATGGCAACACCTGTGATGTGGCAGCGCGGAGACAAGAATGTCGCATTATAAAATTATTAAAATGGAGAAAGCTGATTCTCTACGATTTATTAAGATTTTATTTCTTATTTCTAAGGACTACCATCTAAATCTTTCTTCATCAATTGTAGAGGACGCGATTTTATTAAAGCAAAATCACTAAAAAATTACGCAAAATGGGAGGACGAAAGGGAAACGACAAAACGCCCAAAAAGCTAAGGACATTAAAAAGAAAAAATCTTTGTTTTCGCCGCATAGGTAATTTTATTTTAAGACGACAACGGAAAAAAAAAATCAATTGAACTAATTAAACCTAAAAACCTAACAAGCCAAATTGAAATTCGAATTGAGTTAAACATGCCCTGACTATTGACATTGAGCAGCTCACAGGGTGTTTCGGGGTTCGATCAGTGCGATTATGGTGCGAGTTAACCGTGCCCTGACTATTGACGTTGAGCAGCCCAGAGGTTGTTTCAATGTTTCATCAGTGCGAGTTAACCGTGCCCTGACTTAGATCAGTCCAGAGATTGATTCAGGGTTTGAGGTGTGAGACATTGAGCAGCCTGAGGGTTATTCCAGGGTGCTTCAAGTAGGAGTCATTCTGATTTCTCAGATGAAGATGGGCTTGAAATTTTATTTAATTTTACTGACTTTTTTATACAGAACTAGCACATTTTGTTTAAGCATTTTTTACTTGCAGCATTTTTGCAAATACTAATTGATTTCTCTTACCCTGGGCTCCAGAGGTTATTTCACTTCCTATTTCTGCAACGAATGAGCAAGTGTCATCAAAACAGCAAATGCGAGAGTGAGAAATAAATAACATCTGGACCCCAGGTCAGTTTTCCCTTAATTAATGTCAAATTCACATTAATTGCTAATCTTTATTAAGGTTGACAATGAGGAATTTTAGATTCAATATTAAATTTCACAAATGAATTTCAGTTTCCACTGGAGTTCCATTTCTGGCTTTTCTGCTTTTGTATGTTTGCGTAGATGAAGATGGAAGATTTTGATTATAACCTAAATGCAAGTTAGGCAGAGTGCAAGTAGGGGAGCTACTGCTATGATACTCTTTAGTGCTGTGTAGCAGAAATTCACTGACTAACTGAGCATTCTCTACTTATACCAATATTTTATATGCTCTCCTAATGTATCCTCATTGCTTTTTATTATCAACATTTTCATCAAGATTTTCATCACCATCAACATGATCATTATCATTTTCATTCTTGTCCCTGATTAAATATTCAGTCTCTTGTCTGTTGATTGGTTGTTTTGGAAACATTTTAACATACGCAGCTGTACAGCACCATTTGCTGTCTCTAAATGGTTGATCGTTATCTTCTAAGACAAAGGCCTCTATGTGATCACTACAGACTCCATTGCTTGCCATTATCCTCTCAAGATGGCATTCTTTTGCTTGTTGTAGACCTTCTAGTAAATCTTTTGATGAAATCTCAGATTTGTCCTGTCCTTTTATTTTCTTCAACCTATTTTCTGTTAAAAAAATGTAAGATTCAGGGCTGTCAACCCTCGAGATATTCAAATCTGGAGAATTGATATAGGGAAGGGACAAACAAAGCCTGCAAAAAGACATCTTTTGCTTTGTAACATTTGATRTGATTGGTTTATTTCTGACCAATCAGATTATCGCTTATATTACAATGGCCTGCTTGCAAGAACAGTTTGAGGAATGTTTTGATTTTGTTAGCAATGTAAAATAACACAAACAACATAAAATAATTGGAATTTTATGGTTGTGAAAGTCAAGTCTCACAAGAAATGGGATTATCCAGGAGATTTGAAACTCTAATCTGGAGACTGGGAGATACGGTTCAAAATCTGGAGACTCCCAGTTTATCCAGGAGAGTTGACAGCCCTGAGATTTTTTGTAAAGTCCTTCTTAGTGCCCCCACCTCCATCTGTGTTTGTCCAGAAGATAAACTACTACCTTCCTTAGAAGGAATTGGAATCTTGAATCCTATTCTTGGGTTCATTTATTGTACCCATTTCCCTGAATAAGAAACCCAGCCTCTGTTAATCTGTTAACCATCAAAACCTTGATTGACAGATGTCAAAAAAACCCATACAACTAAAGAAGAAGCTTGGTTGTCTGGGATACATAAATTAAATATAGAATTAAATATTAGATAAAAATAAAATAAAATATAAGAATCTTACTTCATAATTAGCTTAAAACTGGAAGAAAATAGATCAACAAAAATCACACAAGCTTAAACTTTTTTTCTTTCGACACCATAAAACTTTTTTTCTTTTGGTATGTTGTTTGACAATTTCAATCCTATTTCTTACCAAGTACTGATATATAAGCCTCTGAAGTCATAAACTTTGGTTTATCACAGGGTTTTTCTAGCACAGGACATTCTGTAGGAGTTAAATCCTCTTCTTTGTCAAAGGAAACCCATTCACTACTGTCCCCAATATCCGCCATTACTAAATGCACACCACAGGTAACCCATTTAAGGACTTTAAATTAAATAAGGAATATTTTAAACTGGTTTTATGTCAAAAATGGTAAGCAAAGAATCAAATTAGGTTTCAAACCTCATCATTTTGTTCCTTAGTTTTTAAAAGCTTTGTCTTTGTTAAGGAAAGCGAGTTTTACTGATTGCTGAATGTATCACCTTGGTTGGGATTCCTGTGTATTCGATGACCAGTAATGGCGGACGAACATCATCAAAATGTGGCTTTCTTGAATGTTAAAAATTGATATCTTCAAGGCTTCCAGGATGAGGTTAAAGGAACTCGAAGGCTACTTACAACAAGTAGAAGTATTTGACAAGCCCAAGGTCGAGCTAGAACAGTATCCTACGACACCACACATCGCTTCACACATGTTGTACACCATTGATCAAAGCTTTGATGACATCGAAGGAAAGTTTATCGGGGATCTTGGCTGTGGATGTGGTGTTTTGAGCGTTGGTTGCTCCATCCTTGGCTGTGCTGCGTGTGTAGGGTTTGACATCGATGAAGATGCTCTTGAAAAAGCTTCGCAGAATCTTAAAGAATTTGATATTGATAATGTAGACTTGGTCCAGTGTGACCTGTCACAGTCAGACCAGTCACAGACAGAATTATTTGCAGGTTGGAGGAATAAAGCATTCGATACGATTATCATGAACCCTCCCTTTGGAACGAAAAGTAATAATGGTAAAAACTTAAGTTATTAAGCTATCATTCATTATATTTTTAGGGGGTAGGGGAAGGGGTATAACTATATTTGGGGGGTAGGGGAGGGGGTATAGCTATATTTGGGGGTATAGCTATATTTAAAGGGGGTAGGGGAAGGGTTATAGCTAGGGGCAAGATCAAAACAGTAACTTCTTGCCTTCTTTTAAATTAAAATGTAAAGGATGCTTGAGCTTCATAGCAAATTCTTGTACTTCTATTCTTTTATTTGATGCATTCACAACTCTAAGATTAATATCCTTTCTTGATATAAAATAATTTGTATTCCCTGCAGGTATTGACTTGCTTTTTGTCCAGACAGCACTTTCCATGTGCACAACATCTGTCTATTCCTTGCACAAAACAGCAACAAGAAAACACATCCTCAAGAAGGCTTCAGAATGGGGAGTTGAAGTGGAAGTCCTGGCAGAATTGAGGTTTAATTTAGCAAAAACTTACAAATTCCACAACAAAAAATCAGTTGATATTGAAGTTGACTTTATTAGATTTAGCTTCAAAGAAGATTAGAATAGTTTACTGTATTGGTAGTCAATTCTTACTTACTTATGTATTTCTTTCTGCGAAAATCATGTGTGCTTTCCATCATTCTCATACACATTTCATGACAATTAATTGTTTGATATTGATGTTGACTTTACGGTATTGGTGGTACATACTTACATATGTACTTTTTCATTATCAAAATTATGTGTATTCCATCATGCCCATGTGTGTTGTGATGGCAAAGGTCCTGTTTATCTATGTCTTATGAGAGAAAAAAAAAAGACGAATAATCTTGACATTTTCATAGGGAACATCCTTTCTGTCTTTATTTATGATAGATATTTGCTGAACTAAAGATAAACTGCCTTCAAAACAATTCTGAACTAGCAAATGTTTTGTTTAGCTGATGAAACTCTTTTCATCCACCTCTTTTCTAATTTCATATGTCCTTAAAGATTCTCCTATTTATCATTCCAGATGAATAGAAGAGATATTCAAAAGGTTATATACGAAATATAACGTTGCACTAGACTTTTTGTTATTTTCTTTCCTTCTTTCCACCCAAAGCACTAGCATGAGAAGGGCGCTTGACGAAGAAAAAAGTTTTAAAATGAAATACGTATGGCGCGACAACCAGGAGACAAATTTTAAAGAAACTACTGTATTTATGCTTCATCTTCTTATCTTTCGGCTGTCATATTCCCAAAATATTTTCTCAGAAATGTTTCCTTAACTTTGAATACCAATCGAGATAATTTTCGACTATTTTATTTCTCTCCGGTCGAGCGTGTGTGATGTTTATATAGTCGTGTTTCCTCTGTGAAGCTTGTTGATCCTGGAAGACACCCAGTACACACCCTATACTAATGTACTTCGTGCAATCTCGTGTGTACTTTATTTTATCAACACTTGCTTAGATTAGACAACCGAGTTCACTGTACACACCCTACGCTGATGTACTTCGTGCAATCTCGTGTGTACTTTATTTTATCAACACTTGCTTAGATTAGACAACCGAGTTCACTGTACACACCCTACACTGATGTACTTCGTGCAATCTCGTGTGTGCTATATTTTATCAACACTTGCTTAGATTATATTATCTCTGACAGAGACAGGATAAGTGCTTGAAAATGTCGAAAAATGCCACGATAGCAAACCGTAGGGGAATCGTAAGGAAACTAGAATACGAAACCATTATCTTACTCAGTGGAAGTTTATTTAAAGTATTTCAAAACACTTTAGATTTAAAAAAAGATATGATGAACAATTCTAACAGAGCTAGGCTCAGATTGCACGATTTTTTACTAATATCTCTGCTTAGTACTGTTTTTTTTAAAAAATGGATTAACATCTAGATAGCTAGTTTTGATGAAGAAAAATAATTGTTCGGCGACTGACAAATATTGGTTGTGAACCAATGGATGAAGAATTTGAGGAAAAAATAAATTGTTTGGCCGCTGAGTCCATTTTTGTACATGTGTTATTAGTCTTTAGGATCTTTGCCCGGATTTCCCGTCAACAAATTCATCGTAGAAGCGATTAGTAAAAAGAGATGCTGTACGTTTTGGCACGCAATGGAATTCGGCCACGATGCAAGGCCATCGTAATTGATTTAAAATCGTTGAAATTATAACAAAAATAATAAAAAAGCTAACAATAATAAGGGTATCAAATTTTCAAAATTACTGTGTTTTCTAACATGTTCTTCGTTGTTTTCTTGCCCTCGAAGAAGGTCAGGAACACGAACAACTCGAACATCAATCTCCCTACTGTGAAGACATCTAAAAGGCGTGAACTAATCAGGACGTGGAATCTTGCCATCATTTGAAATTATTGCGAAACTTGCTCGAGTTTATCCTTAGATTAAACGATCAACGGAGGGGGTTTTGAGATGCTGACGTATGCAGAAAAATCCGTTGCAAATAAGTCTTAGTTCGATGACTGAAAGGATAAAGGCGAAACACTTTAAATTCCGTGATGTTCAATGGATACAAAATAAAAAGTGCTGACAGACCTATAGGCAAATATCGTATTTTATTATAACTACTACAGATCGCAAATGGCCCAGCTAATGCTCAAGTCGATAGCCTAGGTAGTATCCAATACGACTGAAATCTTCGTCGCCTTCTTCCATTATTTATTCGGAGCACAATTTGATTTTGAAGTTGCTGGACTCTCAAAAGACAAAGCAGCATCATAAGTTGTTGCTGCATGTAAATCAGATCTTGCAAAAAAGCGAGGAAGCAAAATAGAGAGATGATGATGTTTCGAGGCAACATTTTAGTACTGATGCAAAGACTAAATTAATTAAACACTCGTGGCGCGAAAAACACGTCATTTTGCGCGAGTGTTACATTTTGATTGACACATACTTCTTGTGGATCAGATTTTGGTATCTTGTAGTGCGAACACAACAGGCCAAACAATTTTTTCGTTAAAGCCAATTTTTGTCATGAATCAAAATGACTTGTACAATTTTTGTCGGTCTAGTGCGAACGAGGCCCTATCTAAACTTTAACGCAATTCTACTCTGACTTTCCACTTTTTTTGCCATTTGTGGTTATGACAAAATACCCAGAAAAATTAATATATGGACTGGAATTTGGCGAATAACTTCAGTATTTGAATTTCAAGCAATGAAGTTTACTGAATAGTTATATATTTTTTCAAAATATTTCTTAATTTACTTCTTTTTCTTTTCTTTATAGATTGTTATTTTTGACTTTATTCTTTTCAAACATTCAGGAGTAATTGTGATTGGCTTCTTTTAATTTCAAAGCTGGTTTTGTCCGGATATCCTTAATAATAATTACTTGGCAACGGTCCTGGCCAAAACTATAGCCAACCGACCATCTTCTACATTGCACTGAAAATTTTGTAAAATCGTAGGTTAAATGGAAGGAAGTTTGTTTTTTGTTTTATCTTTGAAAGCCACTTGATTAGATTGCGGTTTTGGGATTTCTATATGAACTGTTTTGACTCCTGGTTTGTGTGCCATAATTTTTGGAAAAACCATTTTATCTTTCTTTTGAATTGTTGTTTTGACGTTATTTTTAGGATCATGACTGTCTTCATCTTGGAAGGGAATGTTCGTATCAACTTCTCTCTTTCCCGCTTTACACATTCTGTCTATTTTTTGGAATAAATACAAAGATTCATCACCCAATGAATGGAAATACTTCTCCTGTCTGTCTTTATATCGCTTGACTAAGTCCTCAAAAGAATTTGGTTGGCGTCGCGTTTGTCTGGCTTTTTGACTCAAGAGTCTTGTGTTTGCTGAGGTTGTCGTTGCTTCTCGAATTACATCCTTTTTGGATCGCACATCTTTCTTTATTTCAGCTGATTTTGTTAGATTTTCGTATTTCGAAGGTTCAGAAACCGGTTCGGAGGCAAAGAATAACTGGTTTCTCAAACTATCTGAAGGTTTAAATGAAGTAATAACGGTAAAGTGGCCAAACTCGTTGAACATCTTTTTGTCTTGTGCATACACGACCAATGGTCCTTCCTTTCCTACGTGCTCAAACTTACTCAGATTAAGCCCTTTAGTATCCGATGGAAGCGGGATTCGTGAGCCGTTTTCTATCGCTGATCTAATTCTTGCGTTCTTAATACTCGATTCTGGAACCATTAAGTTAGATTCATCGTTATGTTGAGAGTGTCCCCGTGCTCTGGAATGCTGAGGTTTCCGGGCTCTTTTCTTGACTTTGCTGTTGAACTTCCTCATCTTTAAGCTTTATGTCTTGTTAGGTAACTTAAAAACTAAGTACTATCCGCGTAATTAAGTTCAAATTGTTTACCTCTAAAGAAAATGACTTAAAATCGATGCTTTCCAGCTCCTCAAGTAAACCATAGCAACGTATAGCTCATTAATAAAGATGAACATTCACGGTAAAGACTGGACCGGCAACCGAATCAGCCTAGAGCACTAATTGATAAATCTTCCTTTAAGTCAATAATTACTTATCAACAAAGAGATTAAATCAGCAGAGAGTTGTAAACAAAAGGTTCAAAATGGGTGGAATCAGGGGAAAAAACTTAGAAGAATGGAGCATGAAGTTGGTACCCTGCAGTAATCTTCGCAGCATCGCACGTTGTAAAGGCACTTTGATCGGTCACGCGCGAAATTCGGCGCGAAAATAAACAAAAGGCTGTCATCAATATGGCAATCGATATTGCAAGGGTATTGTGTTTCTATTTCCTCTAGCTCGATGACGCAGCTCATTTGACCTTGCTTTTATAGAAACCAATCGTAGAGTCTCGCGGTTAATGCGTAGCCTAACAAAGCACTAGACTGGAACTAAGACATTCACTAAATCACTTGCTCAGTTTGTTTTCTTACTACGACTCAATTCATTCAATCGATTTGAAACTGATTCATTGCATTGGTGGTATTGTGAAGAAACCGACAATTTGAACACGTTTAGTGGCGCCGAAAATTAGGATCTTAATCGTGCTCTGATCGGAGGACGACGAGCGATTGCGATTCTAAGAAAATGTCAAGCGTTGGCTCCAGAGCTGAATTTCCTAACAGAGTGTACAGCCCTACCCCTGAAGACGACTTTGATAATCAAGAACTGCGTCCTTTGAATCCGCATCTGCCTTTATCTTACGAAGAAATGAATGGGGCAGACGATAGTTATACAAGAGAGGGGCAGCTTCACCAGTATGAAGACCCTCGGCTTCTTGCTGAACAGATGAGGAGAATGAATAATTCGAAGATCCCACCCCCTTGCGACCATGAAATCAGACCAAGGAAGAAAGCAAACGACCTCTACGAGAGATACCGAACTGATAGCGATGGTTCTGATAGTTCTAAAAAGTCGTCGCGTTGTAGAGGAGCGATGTGTTTTTTGGTTACTCTCAGCCTTATGCTCGCTCTTGCGGCCGTGCTGATGGCCGTGTTGTTAGTGCTTGGGCTTCTTGTGCCGAAGTCTTGCGAGAACTGTTTGAAGAATGTACAACACAGTGAAGGTGTTCCACGAACCGGCACTTCAGCATCTACGCCCAGCACGAAGCACCTAGAACAAATGATCAAAATACTACAAGCAAACCTAACCCAACTGCATCAGATTGTCAGACACAGAGATGATGTGATCAAGAAACTAATGGAAACAGATAAGTCTCATACCGAACAGCTCAACATACTTTTCCGAAATCAACTCAGCGACATACTCAAAAATGCTAGATACAACGTCACAGCTCAATTAAAGAAAGAATTAAGGGGAGAAAGAGGACCGCGTGGACTTCAAGGCGAACGAGGGCCGCCAGGAGAACCCGGAAAGCCGGGTAGTGGAAACATTTCTACTTGTGTTTACAAAGTTGCTCAGGTCATTTTTTCTCCGTCGCGTTCTTCTTCTCAAGATGTCTTTGCTTATCAGACCAGTGGGTGGCTTATTATAAGTGCTACATGCTCAACTGATGGTGCTGCTCAGAGCAATCTTAGGCGCGTGGAAGGACCAAACGGAATACAAAAATACAGCTGCCAGTGCAAGGGTATTGCTGTGGCTCATCAAGGCCCCGCGACATGTTTCATCCATTACTGGCAATGCCCTAAAATTTAAGAGCATTAGGGACTAATTTGACAATATAAATAATAGGAATAATTAATTAATAAGTGATATAAATTCATGTGCATAAATCCGAATTATGAATATTAATATCGAGAAAGAAGGTATTAAGGAATCGTAGAACGTTGAAAGAGTGCCAAGGTTTGTCAGAAAGTTTAGTAATGTGTAAATATGAGTAGGGAAATTTCATTGTCATAGAAAATTTTTTTACAAATGATTGTTAACTTTGTTTGTTCTTCCGTATTCCATTCATTCCTTTCAAGAATTGAACTGAAGAAAGTTTTTTAATACAGAAATGATTTTCATAAATTTTAAAAGGTTTTGGCAACTCATCTTAGCGAACTGTTATCGGATGTCATATCTTCACTTTGTACTTCAGACTGATCGACATCAAATTCCGATAAGATTTTATTTTAAAAACAAAATGTATAAACTGCGTTTATTAAATAAACTGTTTTTATGGGTTTTAAATGTATCGAGTTCCCTTTCTTTGTTTGCAACTTTTATCTTGTGGCTAGATAATTTAGATCTTTAAGATAAAATCTGATTATCCTAAGAAGCAATGGAATGCCGTGTCCTTTTCTAGGAAACCAATTTGTCGGCAGGACCAACTGCTCGAAATTATTTTTCCTTGAAAAAAAAAAAAAAAGAATTCAATGGTCGCTGGAACAAATTACTCAACAAGTTGTTATATTTAGGCTTGTTATACAAAATTTCCGGAAAATCAAGTGGTTAGTTTGCGTGTGTGACAATTGAATTGCTGCTGAAAGTCTTCTTGAACCTACTGATCCGGTAGCCAAAGACAGGACTGGGCAAGTAGAAGGGCTTGTCTCGTCATGGAAAAAATGACTGGCCTTTATACCCTAAAGTTTGAAAACAGTAAAACACAGACGCTGGAGTCGCCTGCTTCTTCTCTAATTTCTCAGAAGTGCCGTCCTTAATTACACAATGTAGCCAATGGAACAATGGCCCAAAATAAATATTCCAAGTATTTATCGCTTGACTTACTAGCCAAAGCCACGCCTACTGCTTAAAAGCCCTAGGCTACTAAGAACTGTCTGACTTCTGACCTCCCACAAGCGATACGTTAGGAAGGTAAAATTGCAAACAGAAAAGGAAAGGATAGGGAAATTGTAGTTAAAAGCAGACTTGTAAATCTAGATCTCTGTTGAAACATTTCCAGCTTTGTTAAATCAAGCGTGCACAGTCCTAGTCGAAGAACTGCTATGGTCGTTAAAATGAGGTAAAGTAAAGCGCAGTTCCTGGGGAAGGGTAGGATTATAACGGATTCACTAATCAATTAGCCACCAATCCGTCTAAGCCATGTCCAAATAACCAAGCTCTGCCTGCCCATACACAAAGGTCCTTACCATTGTTTGATGTACGGTTTATTATTAAACTCTTTGAATCTCCTGGAAACTAACTCTCTATTCTCTTCAGACTTGGAGTCAACTGAAAATTCTAAATCTTTTCCATTCAGAATTGTGTATATTTTTTTATCACTCTTTGCAATCCTTTTAATATGTTCTCCGCAATAGGCATGAGCGGAGACAGGGATGACCTTTTTTCTTTGGTCTTCCTGTGGTGCGATCAGAATCAGAGCCCGCGATAGAAAGTCAGCGTGTTTATTTCTAAATTCAAAATGGCGTCTTTCATGAGTCGTGCAGGGCTGTCTTTATTTAATCGTTCAACTGCTCTTTCTGCGAGACAGGCCATTCCTCTGAGACATGCTCCGAATGTAAAGAAAAAATCCAAACAGGGTAAAGACGTCAAGAAAAAGAAACCCAAGATCGTAATCCGCAAACCATCAGAAATCGTCCCTCCAATTGATCCAGAGGCCATTCCGAACTTAGAACTGCGCGAGTCATTTAGAAGACGAAGTCTTAACAAAATAAGCGAAGAAGAAGAGGAAAAGAGAGTATTACTACTTAAGGAGTGGTCTAGATTTAAGATGCAGCAGCACAAAGAAGATTTACAGCGTATTCAAGAGATGACGAGGTGTCGTGAGGAAGCCTTGAAGGAACTGAAAAAGAGCTCAATGTATCTGTACCTAGAGGCCATAAAAATTGATAAGACACTGTTTCCTTTGGAGTTTACTGGACCTACTGAAACTCCACCAATTGCAGGTTATTCAGCACCAGACTTGGATCCAGATGAAAAGAAAAAATAGTCCAGTTGCTTACATTCATGTAATTTGATGTTACAGGCGCCATGTTGGAGGAAATTAACAAGAGTTTTCTTTAACGTTGTTTGTTGTTCTCTTCAAACATGGTGGCCTTGCCTTTCGATCTCTTGGGATTAGGAAATGATTGCATACTAATGATGGTGGTAGTGAATGCTTTTGCCCTTTGGGGTGGGATGATTGGGGTTAATATATTTATACAGATAATAACCACTTTCTAATGTCCAATGCTGGAAATAGTAAACGACAAGCACCACCACATTTATCCTCCAAGTAAATGATTTGTGCAATACAATATTTTTAATTAAAAATTTCTCTTTACAACTGTTTGTGTAACTTGTTTTGTATATAATCTTCGTGCCACTTTTTCATATTGATAGAGTGCACGCACTAAACCTGTGAAACAAATACTAACTTTTAGTACTAAATAGTGATAAATAAACAATAGAAAACAAAGGATTCTGTATGAAATAGTACTAATTAGTACTAATTAATGTTCATGGATTTAGTGCGTGCACTCTATCAGCAATTCCTATGTGTAAGTGCAATTCCTAATATTTTATTTTATTTTTTAAAGATTTGAATTATTGACTGGATACAATGAACCTGTGAAACCGTACTAAACTTATGCACTAGTACAAAATATTGCTATGTCTTTTGTTTCCTATTGCTTCATAATTAGTACTATTTGTTACAAATTAGTGCTCGTTATATAGTACTGTTTCATGGATAAATTTGTATATTTTATTTGTATAAATGGATCAATTATGTCCTGAGCCTTTCTTTTTTGGTCGGAAAGGTGACACTGCATGCTCTTCAGGATCTTCATCTTTGTGTCCTTCTCTAGAAACAACCAAATGGTAGTCATAAGGTCAAACATTTTAGTTTCATACCCCTCTGCCCCACAGTAGAGAAATGTAGTGAGATAGGGCATACCCTGGCCCTAAAGGTGCAATTACACAAAGAAATTTTCTCTGCAATTTGTCTCACAACAGAGTTGCAACATAAGCTGCATGGAACATTGCAGTGTATAACCGACAGCGCAAATTTTAAAAATGTTGCGAGATGAGTTGCAGCAATTGTTGCAAAAAAGTAGAATTGGTTTCTACTTTTGGCAACTTATCCATTTAAAATCCATTTAAAGATTGTAATGTGTCGAGTCCCAGGGAATGTCAATATTTTCTCCACTGAAAGATGCAAATTTCAGAGAAGGGAGTGGCAGCTACATTGCATAAGATTTTGAATCAGGGCTACATGAAAAATGTTTCAGGATCCAGGATTGCCTCCATAAAAAATATTGTCAGCTATTCTGGGGTGGGGGGGGGGGGGGGGGGGGTTTCCCCCCCCCCCCCCCCCTTCCCCTAGATTAGCCCCTAATAGGCATTTNTTTCAGGATCCAGGATTGCCTCCATAAAAAATATGGTCGGGGGGGGGGGGGGGGGGGGGGGGGGGGGGGGGGCTTTGCACCCCCTGCACCCCTTCCCCTAGATTAGCCCCTAATAGGCATTTCTGGAAGTAAACAGTATTGCAAACAAACCTGTAACATCTTTTGCAATATAAATCATCATCACAACCATGGCATCGCAGTACTGCATTAGCATTACATATGCAACACCAAGGTAGTTCATCCTCATCACTATCTGCTTCATATTCCTTGCTGAAAAAACTCTTAGCTGTACTGTCATCAATGGCATCAACATTATCCTAAAATTAATCAATAATTGATAGACTTTGAAAAAAAATTAGGGATGGGCTGATTGATGAGCAGAAAGACAGGCAGATGTGTGGAATAAATAGCACCAAAATCCACTAAAAATAGAAAATTGGACCAGAATACAGGGCATGCTACTCATCTGGAACTTTTACAGAGAGAGGTTTGAAAGAACAAGTAAGAATCTAAAATCTATGTTAACATTTGTGACACCAAGCAATTGATATGATGTTGGACCACCCTAATGATTGAGAGGTAAGCACACCCTAAATGATTATTAAGATGCTTTCCAAAACTTACCTTGCCTCTTTTTTTTGTTTTCCCTTGACTTTTACCCTTTTTGGAGTCCTTATCTTCAATATTCTTTTTAGTCAAATCTATAAAAATGAATAAGAAACAATAATGAACAAAAAACAACAACATTGCCAACTACGGGACAAAAACAAGTGCCTGTCCTTAATAGTGGGGTGTTTGTATTACATGTGTGTCTGTATTACATGGGTGTTTGTATTACACGGGTGTCTGTATTACATGGGTGTCTGTCTGTATTACACAGGTGTCTGTATTACATGGGTGTCTGTATTACATGGGTGTCTGTATTACATGGGTGTCTGTATTACATGGGAGTCTGTATTACATGGGTGTCTGTATTACATGGGTGTCTGTAAAGTATAGTTGGACCAAACTTACCAATACCCATGGCTTTTGTTTTGTCTTCAAGAAAAGCCTCGCTCAGAACCTAATAAGAATAAAAATGTAATAATGGATGCCAGAAACATGAAAAGAGGCCATTAAAGTCAAAGAAGAAAATGGAAAGTGCAGTGATGGAGATGTGCAAATATTGTTTATGATGAAGTGGTAAATGGTGATAATGATTGATAATGATGGTGATGATGATTATAATCATGATAATGATTTATTAGTTGATGAAAATGATGTTTATGATGACGGCAAAATGGCAACAAACCTGTTGAAGGTATCTTTGATTATATGTCTCCTCATCTTCATCGCTGTCTGGAACAGGGTTCCTGTAAACGCCTTGATAAAACAAGCAAATTTTTTCACCTTTTTGTATACGAGTCAAAAAACTATTGGAAATACCAGTACTAACTTGGATCAACATCCTTAAGTTTTGCCAGTCTTTCCTCTATCTCTCTGTCAGTATTCTTGTCATCGTTACATTGATTCATTGTTTTTGTTATGAGGTCTTGAACATCATCCCGTTTACTTGATTCCCCAATTGCACCTGGTGTGTCCACTTCTTCCTAATAAAAATTACCAAAATACAAACAACCAAAACTGCCATTTTATCAGTGAGTTGAACAATCAAGTTGCAACTTGTCAAATGGAAACTGTTGCAGGTTGTAGTGACTTATTCTCCCTCCCAGCAGTTGAGAGTGTTGTGAGTGATGACACTACAATCAGCTGCAGGGAGAATATAAGAGACTATATGCTTCACTCCAAACTTTGATTACAACTTGTCGTGCACAGAAAGTTGTTGAAGGTTTGTAGGAAGTAAAAGAATTAATGCTACTATTCCTGCAACAAATAATCAGAAAATATAGGTTGGGCAAGTGCAAGTTATTTGAAACAATTTTTTTTGCAAGACAACTTGCAAGCATAAGAAACTGTTGTGTGAACAGCATTTTAGGACTAAAGAATTTACCTGGTTGGATTTTAAACCACTGTCTAGTTTGCACTCATCACCAAATTGTTTTAACAAGTCAGAAACTTCTTCTGTTTCAGTCTTCTTTGGTTGTATGGCATTCACCTTTAAATCAAACAAAAATGTCTATTTGCAAGTTACCTGTCACAGCATCAAAGTTCTATCATGGAGTGACAAGTAGTATTTATCCTAAAATTGATAATGTCACATTGAAGGGAAAGGTAAACCAAGTCCAAGTGAATATAAATTTGATCCTTACGTTTGTTTTTTGTGTGCTAACTGACTTTCTTCCAGATAGCTCTTCAAATCTTTTACCAATATCTTCATCTGTAGTTTTTGTTTTAACTGTTATGGAAATGGCATAAATTTGTCCAGATTTTTGAAAGCAGAATAAAGTGGATAATACCCTAGCTATTTCCCCATGAGATCCCTCAAATTTGAGTCCCCTTCATTTTGGGGAGGGGTGATGGGAAGGGAATGAATATCCCTTGGAACCAATAATACAATTTTTAAACTTTGTACTAACCATTTGAATTATCTTTTAGCTGTAGTAGTCTTTGTCTTATGCTTTCATCAGGATCCTCCTCTTTATTTTCTATTTTCTTCTCACTGGCAGGTACATTCTTATTGTTTATGACAATTAAAATCATTTTCAAGTTAATAAGATTTCTTAGAGGGAAAGTGAAATAGTGGAAAGTGAAAGAATAGCCAAAAAAAGTCTAAATTAAGAAGAAATGTGACATAAATATGAGTGTTAGGGAAATGATGCAGGGTTAGCAAAAGTGGAAATGAGGGTTTTGGGAATAAAAAAGTGAAATGATGGGAAGTGAATAAATAGTAGGAAAAAGATGAAAAGTATACTAACCTGTTTAGAGGAAAGATATTGGAAGCCATTTTCTCTTGATTGAGTAATCTTGTTTAAGTCATTTTGTTCAGTTTGTTGTCCTGGTTGTATTGATTGTTTTGGTGCACTATAATTAACAAGCACATATTACTAATAAGCCTGAAGCAAGATGAAGTTTTACCCCCGACTCTATACCATAATAGTTTTCAAAATTTTTTCATAATAAAATTTTTGATTCCTTAGAGAATACAGGAACAATAGTCATAATTAAAGAACAAAAGCAATGTGAAAAGGATTATGGTCTAGAGAMGGGGGTAAAATATCATCTCGCTTCACGCATATTATAAATAATACTAATAAAAAAGACTCTATGGAGTGTTAACTTTAAGGCCACTCCAATAGACCACCTCTGAGATATGCTTTGATTGTCACGCACAAAGGTTTCAGTATGAGGCTAACGTGCTATGTTAAATTTATTCTTACCGCCTGTCACGAATGACTGAGCATTTAGCACTTAGCCTCATACTGAAACCTTTGTGCGTGGCAAGCGAAGCATATCTCGGAAGTGGTATATTGGATCTAAGGCTTATGAATTATTCATGAGTTTTTCTGAAGCTCGTATAAAGCACAAGCACAACCGATCAGGCAGTGAATTATTTAATAATAAAGAAATACTAAAAAACAAGGGTCAGCAGATGGCTTGTGGGGTGTGGGGATGTGGTAGAATATGATAGTAGTTTAAGACTCCACTATGCATCATCATGTATTGATGTCTTACAACAAGAAGTGCAAAAGTGACCAGAGATAATGTATTTACTGACTATTATAAACTTACTTTTGTGCATTGCCATTTTTACGTTAAAACCGATAAATTTTGATGATTTAGCTGATTTTACCAAATGAGGCATTTGAAAGCTCATTTTGCAACAAAAAGCATGTGCATAGAAATATGCGGTCATATTTTTGCACATTGCACTGTAAAAGACTCTTAACACCAGTATGCACATAAGACTATGTACTATATAATAATTATGTAGTTAACCAACACTTTCTATTTTGTGCCGCTACACATAAAAAGTTGAGTGGCGTAGCAGCATTCGAGAATAAGTTCTAATACACTAATGATAACTTGACGGTAATCCAAACGAAGCGAAGCTGTTATATGACACTCCGAACTAAATTCAAAAACTAATATAACGAAAACTAATACACCAATTGTGATTGGTTCTATATGCACCAATCAAATCAGATAATTATTTAACAAGGGATGTGATTGGTATGATACACTCGATACCTCCAATTAGCTATCATAGCAAAGGTTACGAGAAACGCTACACTACTGAAAGTTTACCTCGTTAGAAGTTTATAACACTTGAAGCAAACTTTGTGTTTCCCTGTACCATGTTTTGGAACAGCCGTTGATTGTGATGCGCATGAACTACAAAATATGTGTCCACAATTCTTACAAGAATGCTGAATAATAAGAGATTAAAAATTAATAAATTGAAGCTGAATTATTAATATCATTACCATAAGACTTACATTAAATAGGTGTTCAATTATACTATTTTATAGAGAAATGGGAAAATAAATCTAGAGATATATGTGTCAGAGAGTCCAAGTTTTAATACGGTATTAAAAAAATCGAAAGTGAAAAATTAGAAAAAAATTCTATTGCCAAAAATATGTCAAAAAATGCTAAATTGCAAATTTTAGAAAAATATTTAAAAATTATTTCCTTTGTTGACAAAATAATGATCAACTAAGACAAATAATATTATGAAACCTTTAGCCTTTGGTTGAGCATGTTGGATTGTAAAGTAAAGGCTAAAATACCTCTCTTTTAAAGATACCAAATTGAGCTCCACAACCAAAACATTGCAGGCCAGACGCCATTTTAAATTTGCTACTATACTTCATGTGGAACTCAATATAGTGTTCTAGCTCCCAATGCTTCTCGGTCTTGTATCATTATGTAAGATGGCGCACCATCAAAAGAGGGGTAGAAAATTAGACGAAGAAATACAAGGAGAAGACGATGAGGAAGACCCTTATGACGTGAGGATTAAAAAATCTGGATGTGCTGACTTTCATTTTGCACTGCAAGTAAGCCATGGAATTTAAAGTTTTTTTTTTGAGAGCCCCCAAAAAAGTTGGAATTTTATCTGGAAACCCTAGTTTATATGGTTGTAAAGAGAATCACTTTAAAATTGCTATTAATCTTTGTTAATTTTTGAAGGATTGCTTCCATGAAAAACACGATTGGAGGGAATGTCAAAAACAGATGAAAGAGTTCAGGGAATGTATGGCGAACCAAGAGAAGAAGACGACGTAATTATGGGCCAGCTAATCGAGGCACTCTACTGACATTGCGGGAGAACTATAAGAGCTCTATCTTTTAGGAAAGTTTGAAATATCTTCCAGCGGATTTCCTGAGCTGGGCAAGAGGTACAGCTGACACACAAAAAGTCAAAAAGATGGATAGGAAGATGTTGGAACACTCAGAAAAGTACAATTTCCAACGAATCAAATCATGAATTTTAACTATGATTTTTTTTGTATAAATTTCAGCCTTTGTATGTATCAATAAGAATAATAAAATATAGAGAATATTGATTATTTTATTCTGTTTAAATTTTGATCGATTGTAGGCCTGACAATGATTTCGTGATTTGTGGGTTACCTGTGGTATCTTGTATTTTCAGCGATGATGTCGTTACCCAGCCAACCTCGACGACTTTGCTCGTCAACAGCTAAAAACTTCGTCCTAAAAACTACTACCCAAAAGATAAGAGTATCTAGCTTAAATTTACTGCTGTTTCTGGTAAGGAGATAAAGTATCGTCAGTATTTAGATCTAAATGGTGGAATTGTAAAGATGGTGGACACGAATAGATGTCCATTGGCTTTGCTCAGTCCTGAAGGATACTACCATGAACTTCAAGGACCTACGTTCTTTATAGGAAGACATCACAACGTACAATTAATGCTTAAGGTGAATATCGCTGTAGTTTTTGAGAGTTTTTAAGGTGCTTTTTTGGACCCTTTGGTATGGACTTGCAATGTTGTTGAGCTTGTGTCCACTTCAGACTGGTTGTCGACTGGTTGGCACAAGATGTATTCGCAAAAATAAACTTCAAAGCTTAGGCTTCCAGGAAGCTTTCTATTACTTTAGTTTTATATGTATTGTGTACAGACTCTTATTTATCTAAAGATAGCGAGAGTCTTGTTCAGTAATACTCTAACATGACCTGAGTGATACTCTATTCAAAGGGGATTTCTACAAAAACGCACCAAAATCTTTCATATTAATTATTTCAACAGTCGAGGAGTGTTGACAAGGAGCATGCTGTGATAACGGCTCTGCCTGATCAAGGGATTTATTTTATTCATGATCTGGAGTCTTTGAATGGGGTAAGGCTTTCAACTGTTATAAACTAGTGTGTCTATTTTCTGTGCATGGGTACCCTGTGGGGAGAGGCTATTTCTATTTCTAAGGGAGGGCAGAAAAAACAAATCTGTTCGTAAGGTAATAATTGAGTGTTTTGAACATGATAGCATGCATAGGAGTACACTAGGGGCAAAACTGGAAGAATGGGTGGCTCAACAGTGGAGAATGTTCAGATGAAAGTTGAGTTGTCAATTATTATTAAGACCTCCTCCCCCCTTGCATAATGTTTTCCCAATTCAGACCATGTGTCATTTGCTTGAGAATAAGATCCTATGTTCGAATTGTATCCATATTCATGTAACTTCTAATGTGCAACTGAGCACAACCATTAAACAAAGAATTGATACTCTATGGAATGACATGTGGTCTGAAATAGGAAAACATTACATCTGAGCCGAGGAGGTCTATTCTCTTCCTTACTTAAAAGATTTTTCTCCAGTTTTTCTAGTTTTTCCTGCCTCTGCAATAATYACCTTCTTCTTGGGAGAAATTATCAATAGGGTTAACCTCTTATATCTCTTTTCACACTATAATTCAAATAAATTTGTTATTTTTTAAACCAGATTTTCTTAGAGTGAGGGTTGTGACTGACCCCACTAACCTCTCAGCTTGTCTTTTTGTTTTATTTTATTTTATTTTTCAAGAGGGGGGTTTTATACTGAAGTAAAAAATTTCACTTCATACATTAAATATATATTGTGTATGTTTTTGTGTAATTTTCATTGTTTATTCTATTGTTTTCTTAGACATTTGTCAATGAGAAGAGAGTGCAACAAGCTGAGCTGAGATTGAAAGACACCATCAGATTTGGATATGATATCCTTTGATAGCTAAAAAAAAGGTTTTACAGCAATGGAATATTGCATCACAATTTTGCACTTCTTTTTGATAAACTATGGATAAGGGATCACTGGTATCATTAATCATAAAACATGAAAGGCATCAACTGATTAATTTTGATTGACTAAAGTGAAAATCCTAAATTTCAGCCGATAACTTTCAACCACTGAGTTTGTATGCCATTGAAAACTAATATGAATGAAAATTCTCAGGATGGTATAAAATTGTCATTCCTTGAGGTTAATGAAGGAAGTGGAAGCATTTCCCCCACCCCTACCCCCTTGGTATAGTCATGGCTTGTCTGAAGTAAAACAGATTTGTAAAATCACATTTGTTTATTTAGCCTGAGAGCAGGCATCTAAGGTCATAATGACATCATCTGTGTATTTTTTTTCTAAATCTAATTATTACACTATTGTTTATTATGAGATTACAAAGTATAGAATTACTACAAGACTGTGGATTTCAAAACATAAGAAATAAATCATGCAATAATTGATATACATGGAAATAAATGTATACATGTGTATGGAGCATGGGTTATGTAAATGAGGCTTGAAAGCAGGTTTTTGATTACCCGCAGGTGTCTCAGAAATGACAAAAATATGCCATAAATTATTAATATCATAGCAATAGTTCCTGAAAAATGTGTGTTAAAATCAAGTTATTTCTTGATAGCCACTTTACTCTTTTTTCTAACTTGCTCAATTTACATTAGTTTTGGAACTAACTTTTTCTCAATTGTTTTTCTATTTYTTGTTTTTGTGGTCTTGTGACAAGGTTACAAGCTTTGATAGACACCCTAAGGTAAACTTGTCTTAGAAAARGAAATATAACTTTTTTGAATAGAGAATTAATTTAAAACAGTATTCCTTAAACCACATAGTTTTGAAATATGTTGAAGAATTTTGGATAGTGAATTGCACTTGTTTAGACTGAAATGTTTTTTTCTCAATTTTCAATTTTTTTGCAGTCATTACCAGGATGTAGGAAAGATTATGTAGTGGTTTGAGTACCTGTTCTTGTTTTTAATCCAAAACCTCTGTTTTGAATGAAACACTCATGTGTAGCCACCTGTTGATGGCCACAGTATTTCAACAAAGAACTCCAAATTATGAACCTTTTTGAGCTTTCAAACCACATTCTAAAGACTCTTTAACCATGATTGTGTTCTGTGTGAGGGTTTGTCGCGGGAAGGATGTTCTTTTCCAACCCAAATGGGTTGCTATCGAAGAAGACAGAACATTTGTGGATTTACTACGATATTCAACTGGAGACCAGTTTACTAAAAGTAAAATGGTAGTAGTGGTTTGTGGTGAGATTTGCAGGAATCTCATGGTCCGAGTTTCTATCAAAGATTCAGTGATGGTATTAGAAGATAAGGACAAGAAGATGGTTAGTTATCTTCTTGAACCAGAAAACAAATTAAGCCTACTTTTGGTAAGAACATCTTTATTATTTCTCTAAGTTAATCGCGATATAACTGTTCATCTTTATTCAATACTGTGAAATTAATGATAAAGCATGTACCTTAGTTTGTAACATACTTCAGTTATTTGAATGTACAGTAGTTTGAATTTCAATCTCAGCTCTTCTAGCTGTGTACTTTTTTGTACAGTGGGGATGTGTAAAGCTATACTATATATAGTGTTGTTATTGTAGTAATGTTCCTTGATAAAACTCTAATGTACTTAAGGTACTTACATTATATATGATTGCATTAGACATCCAAGATTCAAATAATCATCAGATGTTTGTAGTAATCCATTGCCATACCATTTAGATTTTGCACCATTTAATGCTTGTCTTCACTATAAGCCTAGATTTTCATGAAACCTGTCACATTATTATTACTTTTAAGTTGTACTAATTGATGAGATTCTTTTCTTATGCTTTTAATAAATTCTGTGTTTCACATTGTAGTAATTTGCACTTTCCAGGTTTTGAGATTTACTCCTAATTTAATCAAACTTACAATGTCCTATATGCTTCATAATACTGCCATTTTGAGTTAGCCTTTGCTTAGTCTTAGCCTCAATTTTGTACAAGTGTGTTCTATGGCACAATACAAGTTGATTAAAATTCCACAGGTTTTGGTTGAATAGCTGAATGTTTTAACGCACAACCGAGACTAAGGCTGAGCAAAAGAGAACTCGAAACTGGAGTATTAATGCCATGTCATAATATACATCTCTTTTCGTAATATTTCATGGATGAGTAACCAGAATCCTCAAAATTCCATTCTCTCTGATATTTCTTTCTTCTTCCATTCTCACAACTAATATTATTATTACAACCCATGAACTGGGTTTTAAAAGCATAGATTATTAGTTTTCTTGCCCTTAAAGGATTGCGTTAATGAAAAATAACATATTAGAATTAGACTTGAAAACTCAGTTTCAATATTATGTCTTGTTATAATGGATATGACCAACAGCGATAAGGAATTTCTTATATTTCTATGCTAAATATTTTACCAACCTTATAATCAAGGATGCCATTTTAGTATCATAAAGCTTGAGTAAAGTAATAAGTATCCGAGAAATCTTTGGAGCCGTAAAAACTTTGTTTACCTTAACACTTTATATATACGAATACCTTCCGAGTAGATTTGCTCCCATGTGAAGACCCTAAACTAACAATGTTTGAGGAAAATAATAATACTCAAGGTGGTATGACAACATGTCATGATTATCTACAGGATACTGAATATGTAAATAGTGCACTATTACGACTTAAATGTATTACGTAACAAAGTTCACTAGTATTTCAATATTCTTTATGATGATCTGCCTCTCAAATGAGAATTGGTCTGCACCAAATATTATGCTGTTACTCTTAGTTTTGTATCCCTACAACTTAATTTTTATTTACTTGAAACATGTGGTTTATGCTCACTACACAATCTAAATACCATAGACTGTATGGTCTTTACCATTTCAGGCCTGCATACATCATTCTCTTGAGAATAAGATTCATTCTTTGAGTTGTATCTGTATTCATGTGTCTTCTCATGTGAAACTGTTAAACAAAGAAATAATACTCAAGGAAATGACAGGTGGTCCGAAATAGGACAACATTACCCCTGAACTAAATTGGTCTATAGTACTTACACAATTGCTATGTTGCTGTTTTCTTTTTTCTTTGGCTTACTCTCACTTGTGGTATGTGATTTGATTTGTGATGTCCTGTCATACTGTGTCTTAGATCAGGCCAAGGCAAGTTCTTTTTATGGTTTAGGTGGTCTGGTTTAGTAAGATTGATATACATTTTATATTTATGTTTCTAACCCTAGTTTTCTAATCTTTTTCCATTGTTGCAAGGGTTTGAATGAATCGCCAAACATTTCCTCAGATCAAGTTATGTCCAGGTTATGTCACAACTGTGGATCAAAAGCAGCTGATGCTGATAGGTAAGTATTACTATCATTCATCAGTTGCAACACCTGTTATGACCTCTCCAATATCCTGAAAGGGAAGCTTGATGAGGGCATGGACAGGACATAGGGTGTGGACCTCCTGGTAGAACACTTTGCAATGTTGATGATTTTCAACCATTTGTCTGTAATGGAAAAACATGGCAGTATTTAGTTTTATAGTCTGTAAAACTTGAAGGCTACAGTACACCTACCATGAGGCTAGGGAGTGGTAACTGTAAATGCAAATTGGAATTTTGATATTCAGGGCTTAAACTAATGGCAAGACATCAGACAATGATCCGTCAGAACTGAGACTTGTTGGGTCAAACCTTTGCCTTGCCAGTCATTTTGACCAGTAACGTTGAGGCAAAAATGGAGTATGACTAAGCGAAGACTAATTTGGCCAGTGATTGTGACCAAAGACTAATCTGCTATTATTTTAAGATTCCTTTACTTTTCTTACTTCAAGGCTGACTACTATTGTCAAAGGAAGCAAGTTGTATGGACAACCATCTTGGTGGGGCTGGGAGTCTTCAGATGAGGAATTCTATACCTACCCCAACTGTGCTACTATTGTCACACAGGCTGGAACATTAGCTATACCGACACAGCATTGTACTGTTCTACAAGCAAGGATACATAGGAATAAAGCTAAAATAAAACACTCTTTAAAGTCAGGATCTAGTTATACTAAAGATGCAATGCTAACTACAGCACCCGAGGAGGATAGAGAGGTCTTTAAGGAATGCCGTCCATCCTCGTACCCTCCGTCAGTACCGTTATCATCTAATGGGCTTCAACAGCTTGCTCACCCTGTTTATAAAGTACCAACATTTGGAGCCTGGGAAACTGTGCCTCAAGGACATTTTGCTGAAGGAACTGAGGATTTAGGCTTGGATGGGGATGAGAAACTTTTAAGGACCTCTCTTTCTTTTCATATTCCACTCATGCCAGAGTTTGGGGAGATCCCTGAAAAACCTGTGAGTGAGAAGAGTAGTAAGTCAACAAGAAGGAAAAGTAACAAAAAACAGTTCACATCAGGTTTGTCTTTGACCAGAAATAGAATAAATAAGATTGTACAGTGACCCTGAAATGGCTTCCAACGTCATTCTGGACAACTGTACATATCTGAACCTTATCCAATCAAAGTGCTCGAGATGGGAAGCCATCTATAGTACRATTAAGAGTAAGAATACAATGGCTAGCAAATGGCTTCCCAAGGGAATATGTACAAATATGTGTCTTGTCCAACCACAGTGCATAAGATGGGAAGCCATTTAAGAGTCTGGCCATCAAATGGCTTTCCAAAAGAGTACATGCAAAAATTTACCTCGTTCAATTGCAGTGCTTCAGATTGGAAGCCACTTCATAGCCAGAATGTAATGGCTCTCAAATGGCTTCCCATCTGAACCTGTTAAAATACTCTCCTTGTCCATTCATAGTGTCGGAGATGGGAAGCCATTTATTTGTCAAAATTCCATTGACACTAAAGTGATTTCTTGCTCATTTGCACAAAGTACACACCCTGTCCAATCATGCTTGAGACAAGAGCCATTTAAGAGCCAGAGTACCATGGCTCTAAAATGGCTTCTTACTTAAACCTGCACAAATGCACCAATTTGCATGTTTTGTCCAGTGACAGTTCATGAGATGAAGAGGCCTTAAAATAGTCAAGTTCTTTTTTTCCACCAACAGATCTGTCTTGTAGCTCAAGTTTCGCGAGTGAAGCAAGTGATGATGACAGGACTCAGCCAACACCGGACCACCCTGGACGTGTGTTTGGCATGACTGAAGTGAATACCCAGGAAAATATTGATGTACAGAACAATGAACACTGGCCCAAAGGTTAGTTAAAACAGTAATGTGTTTAACCTTAATGACCACTCCAAATACAGAAGGGAAACAGCTCAGTGAAGAAAAGCAATGTTCAGTGTACTGATAGTGAACATTTCTTACCTTACCGACACTTAGTACGCATTGCTGCCTACAATGTGCATAACTAATTTAAAGAAATTAGAATTTGTGCAAAATTGATGTGCGCAAGTGTTTGCTGACAAGTGTTTGTATTATATATTTATTTTAGAGTGCAAAACAGATATTTATGAATAGTACTAACTAATTAGTACAAAATAACACCAATGAAACGATTGAAAAAAAAGTGTGTTTAGTGCTATTTAGTTGTTGTGCTATTTCATGGATATATGGTTTGCACTGTATCCATTGTCTTTGGTTGTTTTGCAGTCTACTATTTCATGTCTGATACATAATATATTATTATTTTTTGAACCCGTTCGTATGATTGACGTCACACTTAAAAACCTCTAAGAAATCTGTAGTACTTAGATATCTTGGATTGAAATCCTGAAATCTTTCAAACTTTAATCTAGGAATAAAGTTTGGAAAACTAGGTTCACGTGTTAAGGTCAAGACGTCTGGTCCAAAAGCATCCACTCCCCGCTCTGTTACGGTAAGCACTGCTGTTATCCTTGGTTTTTATCTTACACGTTTCCTCTCCTCTCCTCTCCTCTCCTTCACTTCCATTTCTTTATTTCGTTTTGGAGGGAATGATAGACCATTTTACCTTAGGCGTATTGTTTTCCCAATTCAGAACATGTGTCATTCCCTAGAGTATCATTTCTTTCTGTAACGGCATTAGAAGACACATGAATATTGAATTCGAACAAATTTGAAACAATGAGCCCAAGCTAAGAATCCCATAATAGTATTATTATAAGAATCCTCAGTCTGTGCCTTTAACGAAAAGGTTACAAATCAGTATTTTTACTTTTTTTCAGGAAACTGATAAATCTAACCGCGTTCATGGCGTGACTACTTCAGGCACCAACGAGAATATCAGAACGCCAACCAAAAGCACACGTCCCGTAAGACGGGCCCCTTCATCCGGGGGATCATCTGTTCCCAGTGACTGTGAGTCCAGAGATTCAGACAGATCTCAAAACCGTAGCGTATTTACTAGTACATCAGATGACAGTGATGGAGAACAAAAAGGGAGGACAGCGAGTATGGATGACAAGCGCGACAGTATAGAAAAACGCAAGAAAAAATCTTTGCGTGAGAAAGACAAGTATTCAGGCGAACTATCTGATAAAACCCCCAGACCTTCATCTAGTTCTAGTGCGCTGCCTCGTGCCAACAAGACCGCTATGTTACGTGCACTAAACAGCCGTGAGGCTGTCAAAAACTCTGTTTCTTCATCGGGTAGTCGTTTACATTCATGTAAAAAACCACGACATAGACATTCTACCCCCGCAGCGACGTCCAACAGGGATAATTCACCCGTGGATTCGAGTTCTTCGCTTAGAATATGGAGTCCGAGTATCAGAAAATCCCCTACATTGATATCACCCAAGTCAAAGAGACCGTTAAGTGGAGGTTCTACTCCGAGAAGTTCTCGTACCACTAATCATTTATCCGGTGATTACGAGCCCCAGGCAGCAGTGGAGGCTATATTTGAATCCACTAAAAAATCAACGTATGTCTTGCCAAAAGAATTGCAGATGAACAGGAATGACGTGAAGAATAAAACGTTTGTGTTAGGTATGTTATGTGTTATATTAGCTATGAAATCAATCTTGCTTTTTGATTGGTTGGGAGCGTGCTGTATGGAAGTACACAGCACGTGCGCAAACTTCCTATTTCGTCACTCATATCCAACATAACGACTGATATAATTTGTGTTTTACAAAAAAAAAATCTTGCTCGCTGTGCAGTTCTCCTAACGCTTCTCTTGTGTTCTGTTTATCTTCGTGTATTTTTTAACTGCACAGCTCGCGCGTGTGCGTTTTTTATTTCTTTAAACTTTTTACTGGTCTAGGTAAACTGTGTTAAGTAAACTGTGTTTGATCTGGCCCAGTCACTGGTTTCAGGTCAGAGGAAGCCCTAATGCTCTTGCCTTAAATTAAGAACTTCTCTTTAAGGTTGTCTAGATAAACATTTTCTAACATTACTTTTTCCCATCAGAAGAGAAAATTGACCAGTCTAGTACCTCGTCAAAGAAAAACGAACAAACGAAAACACCAGACGCAGACATTCCTGTCATTTCAAAAATAGGTACTATAGATATACTTCCAAAGACACCCCCAGCCTCCAAAGATAATAAAACAGTTCCCAGGCCATCCCAACCACCAGTCAATGCGTGGATGTCTTTACCAGATAAAGGAAGATCAACGTCCCCGGAGTCCCTTGTCTCGGTGCCTCCAGCTGCCTCACCCTCCCCTCCCTCGACACCGCGCTCGTCTGCTAAGACTCTCATTCAGGAGAGATTGAACTGCTGCTCCGCACCACCTCAAACTAGGCGACAGTGGGATGTCACTGACAAGGTAGGTCTATTTATGGAGTGTGTTCAAGTCGTTCTGCTTATGCGTTGCAGGGTGCAGGGGGGAGGTAGGACGGGCTGATTAGGGTTATCCTCTCTTCCCTCAAGTCCAACCTCTCGTTAGTAACTTGCACAACAAGGCCAACTAGGCAAGACCTGATAGCTAATAAATTTTGAAGGAATTTCAAGACACAACTACTAAATTCCAGTTCGCATGGGGACTGGTGGTTGAAAAAAAAAAATAAGTATGATGTAGCGAGGGTCACAGGCTCGTTAGCCACTGGCTATTAAGCGTTACCCTCGTAAAACCAAGGACGGCCGACATACCTCAACCCCCCGCCGTCACACAACCACCATCCACCCCGATAAAAAGTATTATTAAGGATTGATTGATCAATACTAAATACTACAGTCGTATCCACTTTTTCCCCCAGCCAATCGAAGATCTGATGCTGTCCTCTGTTCATGCTTTCACCGTTGAGCTGCGTCTTGCATCTGAGTCGGTTCTTTCTAAAGCCAGGTAGTTACGCAAAATATTACTAGTTAAAGAGCACTGAACTAAAGATTACCTAGACATTTATAACGAGGGCTTAACCAACTAACCTCGGCATATTCCTTCCTCTCCTCCCCCGTTACAAATAAACTGCCAACGGAACGTTGGTCACAAGCACTCTAGGAATAAATTTAAGAAATTCCACTCACTGAAAAATCATTAAAATGAGGCCAATCCTGTCATTCGGAAAGCAAAATATAACAATAAATATCGCGATTCGAGGAGAAAGTTAGAAGTTTTTCCTTGGCTTCCATTGCGCTAAGGAAGGCCTGTACCAAAGCACGCATCGTTAGAACAGTATATTGGTATGACTGTGAAAAAGCTGGTGCCGTATGCGTGCCTTGCCGCGACCGTGATGTTTTCTAGAATTTCGATTGGGGGATTTTTTTCTTGCGCTCTGCGATTGGTCTGGCATTGCCGTGACCGTGGCCACGTCGTGTTCATATCGTGTTTCGGGCATTTGATTGGATGGAGAGTAAATTCTCGTACAATATGATTGGGCTGGCTTATACCTTGCCGTGTCACGACCGTGTTCGTGCCGCGAGTATTTCACAGTCATACGAAAATTGCTCTACTTGAACTTGGTACTACTACTGACACTTGATGTTCAGTCCACAAGTTTTGTAATAAATTTTGAACTTGAACAACTCACTAAATCCAAATTTTATTGATATTTTTCAGAGATCTTTACGAGTTTGTCTCAGACGAGACGACGGAACGAAACAAGGGCGACGTTTTAGGYTCGAAAGGTAAACAAGACAGTCATAGTAATATGCCTGAATGGAAAAGCTCTCATGCGGTAAGTCAACTATTATTTATCGAATTTCGAACTCCTTGTATCCATCATGCTACCTGCTTCTTTGTCGCTCAAATATTCCATCTGTTTGTCTACCTGTCCGTTTGTCCGTGGTCAGACTTACCTCCCCTCTCTTTCCTTCCTCTCCCCAGTCCCCCTCCCCTTTCTATCCTCAGTCCCCAATCCCCTTCCCTTCCCATTTGGGCCGCTACGCTGGTCAGACTCTCTCTTTCTGTATCTGTCTGTTTGTCTTGCTATAAAAGTAGCTAGGAAATACAATTTTCCATGTACTTTGCCAGGGGCGGATCTAGGTAATTTCAAAGACTTTGCCTCAATACCACAGGAAAACCGCGGAGGAAATAGTGGAAAATATGGCATCTCAAAAGACGGAAATTAAATTTGAGTGCTTCAAATAAACCGTGTGAAACTTTATCCTGATAAAGGTTTTCAGATACAAACATTTTTTTATTTGTGCAAAATGGGGGGGGGGGGAGGGGATGGAGGGGATGGTTGCAAGTCAACCCTCACCATCCCTAGCCTGGATCCGTCCATGTTTGTTACTCCGAAAACTCAAAAACTGAGCATGTGAATATCGGAATGTTTTATACATGCTTACGAGTAATATTGTATTTATTATATATGATGTTGTTTCACTATTTCCTTTTCCACAGGAGATCGCTGGGGTTTTTCGAAATCTTCGACGTGTGGAGTTTAATCTCAAAAGTAAGCCATTATCAACATTTAAAGTAGTGTACATTGTGCTTGATTAAAGCAAACTCTATGTAGCACTTCATCATAACATTTATCGTATTGATTATTTCATGCAGCGATGGACCAAGCTCTTTCTTTTCTTTGTTCGGCGTCAGGAAAAGAAACATGTAAAGTGAGTAACATTTGTTCGTTTACCTCCCTTTATATACCACTTCTGCTCAACCCTCATCACGATTATTATCATCGTTTTTTTTTTTTGTATTTTCCTTGACTGTAAAGACGAGTGCTTTGCTTGGGATTCCTGTGTATGCGCGCGAATTATAACCATAACACTCGTCTTTACTGAGTCTGGAGGGGAAAGTGGGACCGCTCACTCAATAGTGCCCTGTCTGTCCGCTCGTCCGTCTGTCTGTCTGTCTGTCCGTCCGTCTGTCTGTCTGTCTGTCTGTCTGTCTGTCTGTCTGTCTATCTGTCTGTCTTTCTGTCTGTCTCACCTCCTCCTTCCGAGTATCCCCTTCTCCATTATTTTTTAAATTTTATATTTTCTCTGATCATCCACATGATACCCAATGTTTTCTCCCTTCTTCATCTACCCATCCATCTCTTTTCTTCCCATTTCATCTTCTCCAAATGACAAAATCCATTTCATTTCAAATCAACATTTGTCGAGTAAAATGAAATGTAGAATACACGTCGAAGAAATGAGGAAAACCATAGGGGAAAATATCTTTTTGAAAAAAAAAAAAAAATGCAAATAAAAATTATTAATATATTGTTATTCAAATCATATTTTTGTTTGTTCCAGAGTCAAAGTCGGCCACGTCTTCCCGAACGTTTGGGGCAAAGTAAGTCACTAATGACATTTTATTTCGTTAATCTTGTGATGCGACCTTGACTCTTGAATGGCTTCCGCATGGACTTGTAGCAGCACGCACACACTACGGCATTCCGTGACATTAAAATGGCTTTTCAAAACCTTCACATCTTCTTTTGCTGCGCTCACTCGTGAAATATTAGCACCCCTCGAAGATAGTCTTCATATCTTCGCGGCACCGTGTAATATTCTCTGTATATCTGTATATACCGTATCGTTACCCAATCATACGTACAAGAACTGCTCTTTCCTTACCAAGTAATAAAATAGAAGTAAGATTTCATTGATAGCTCAACAGGACATTTCCTGTGAATTAGCAGTCACTTTCTTTATCTGTTTCCTTTATTTGTTTTTGTCACGCAAGCATTGTTTTGAAAATTTTCTAGCTAGCTGATAATAAACACATCATACCATTTCATTCGTCAAAAACCATCCATCCATCCATTCTTTTTTTTTCTATTTTGAATTTAGATTCTCAAAATTGGAAGGATTTTAAAGTTCGAGCAAGGACTTCTTCCTGGGCAGAGGAAAACAAGAGCAGATTCCCCACAGGAYCCCCCTCAGATGACGAAGAAGTTACAAGTCCTTGAAGACTGAAGCGCGTCCAGTTTGTCCGGTATTCATTTGAATATAGAATTTCTAGCTCATTCCACAACAGATGTTCCTCGTCGCGTCGCGTGCAAAGCACGCGGATAGGACAACCGCGATGTTCGTTAAAACGCATCCTTCRTTCCTTCCTTCTGTACTTTTTATACTTAAAATGCTCTAAAAGTATTTATATTGTATTTATAAATGACAAGCAATTTATTTTATATAAAATTTGGAGATAATATAACACAACGATCTTCACAATTAATTTATTCTTTTTGTTTAATCCATGGCTTGACTTCATGTCTTGACACTGATGATATCGCGGGTTAGACAGGTTCTAGAATGACCATGGAATATTCCCAGTCAACAGCTTATGATTAAGTAATTTGGTTGTGGTGTTAGAAGATTTGATCTTGAAGCCTATAATCCTCCCCGGTTCGAAGTCATGTCTCTGGATATCATTTTAGAATCGTACAGTGAGCCTACACCTTACGTTGAAAGACTTCCTGTTTCTTTGTTGTTGTTGTTTTTTTTTTCGCGAATCCTAATAATCAATCCTTTGATAGCTTTGAAATTGCTTTCTCTTTGAAAGGAAGGACGCTAGCTGTCGGTGGAGATCCCATCCTCTTTGTTCTTTCAAAATCAGTGACATGCTTGATTAAACATTCTGTGGTCGGGCGACACCCCGTTTTTTTCCGCTTTCTAGTCTTTATAATTATAAAGTAAGGTGGATTTTTCTAGAACACTTGGTTCTGTCAAGCCACTAAGGGATGAGCCATTACTAGCGAATAGCATAACCATCAAAATATTGATCGACAAACGTCTGTTTACATTTTAACATCTGTACTCTCTTTGCCCATATATAAATATTGTCTATTTTATCCAAAAATTTGTGCTTTTTTTTTTTTTATTTTTTTTACCGTGCTGAAAGAATCTTTTACAACCGCAAAATTGTAGTCTTTCTATACTCACCGTCTTCGCCGGCCGACGAAACACGTTCTAGAACACGTGATGGAAACCAGACGAATCTGTAGGAAGCGTTTTCATGTTGATTTGATATCGTATTTAATTTCTTTAAGAGATTTATTATTATTTTTTTACGTCCCACGCTGTCCTTATTTTAAAATGTCTTGGCGGTCTTTTTGCGAGAACTTATCTTAGTTAAACTTTTCAATTATATTTTACTCTCAATTAGAAAGATGGCAAGAAACAGAGCGTGAAGGGATTAGAAAGAGGTTATTCTTCACTAAAATCTTTTTTATTCATCGAGTAGTTTTCGAAAACCACTTGTGCCTCTTGTAATTGCCTTCATAATTTGGCCAACTTTCCTTTTCAACAATTTTGTTTGGCCATTTTGAAAAGACTTTGAACTTTCTATTTTATTGCGTTCGTTCTTTTATCTGTCAAAATATAACGATATTTAAAAAATTCTCAGGTGTTTTTCCTTTTGTTTTTTTAAATATTTTTTAATCAAAAATCTATTGAAAAAGTGAAATGAATTTTTAAGCAATCTTTATTGAATTCGTTTCTATTTTACTGAGAAATTAAGAAGAAGGTAATCGACGCCTCGCATTTCAATCCTTTGATCTCTTCGTTGGGTCGTTCACAAGCTTCTATTGACTTCGTACCAAACTGGTTGGTTTTGCAGTATTTTCCCGTGCTTCATCCTCGGGAACCCTGGGGTAAGTTATGTCACTCGTTTCTTGATCCCAGAATAAAATACTTTTTCTGGTAGCGAGAAACGAGCGACAGAACTTTCCCTCTGGATTGCCGAGGGTGCGGCTGCTTTAGATCACCTTCCTTTTATTTCTTTCTTTTTTCTTTCTCGTTTCCATTGATCTTCTAGATTTTTTTTCATTTCTTTGATTCATTAGAGTTTTTTTCTTCACTGACGATTTCGGTCTCTGAAAATTGATCATCGAGACAACAAAAAACATGGTCAAAACGTGTAAGAGCATATATAACAAAGACTTTCAAGTCTTTGCAAACTTTCATTGAGTAGTGTCATCTAGTGCTTTCTTAAGAAAATTAAATTCTGCCAAAAAGCTGTAATATACACATAACTTGTTTGTTTTCCATGGCATAGATAGAGGATATTCAACACGAGAAGATAAATTTCGTATCTCCAAGCGCCCATGTAATATTGTTTATTATATGATTATCCAAAAAATCAACTTAACAAGCTTTTTATCATTATAAAAAGTTTTTATTTATAAACTAATAGCTTAAATACACATGTTAACGATATTTTATTTGAAAAATATCAGTTTTTCGAAAAGGAGAAATAGAGGATATTACATGGGCGCGCGGAGATACGAATTTTATCTTTTTTGAGTGTTGAAAAGATCTCTCACGAGTGAGCGCAGCGAACGAGTGAGAGATTTTCAACACGAGAAGATAAAATTCCTATCTCCAAAGCGGCCATGTAATATTCTGTTTATTATATAATTATCAATGAAGTATGTTTTGGCTTTTTCAGGCAATTCTTTCCGTGTATTTTTGAATAGCCATCRCAATGGTGTTATYTTCACACRTGAAAATAACATGTTATTTTCACGTGTGAAGATATCAATTTTTCGAAATAAAGAAAAATAGATATTTCATTGGTAATTATATAATAAATATAGGTATTTTATGCATAATTATATGATRAAGACGTTTCTTTTCATGGGCTCTTCAGTACTTCTCTAACAACCCAGTAATGTTTACTAGTGTGTTCCCTTAATGTCGGTGTTTATTTTAGTTCAATTCCATCGATTTTATGTTATGCATATATAGCTCATCTGTTTTCTTTTATGATTTTAATCATTTTTTGAATTCTTTCTTCCTTTCTTTCTTTGCTTCTTTCTTTGCTTCTTTTTCTCAAGAAGGACTGATTACTGTTAAGCGCCAGGGCCGTAACCAGGGGGGAGCACAGGGTGCACGTGCACCCCCTATAAAAGCTTAAGGTCCGCTCATCCATCTCCTTTTTTTTTYTTCTTTTTTGGTTCTGCGTTCTTTTGGTTACCTTCTTATTTCTTTTTGGTTCTGCAAATTATTGTCTGTGCACCTCCCTGCAAGTGCCATAGTTACGCCACTGAGTTGGTTATAAAAAAAAAAACGATCGATGGTCCGATTTTATTCGATGTGCACCCTCCCTGTAAAAGTTCTGGTTACGGCCCTGAGTGCAGTCTTCGCTACCAAGTGCCTTGCTTGAAGGCATGAGCCGACAATTTCTTAATCTCCGCTCTGCCATTTTTACAATTTTTTAATCTCTGCTCGAAGAAGTACATACAAAATGGAGTCTGGTGCAAAGCGTTTCTAAAAATCTAATGTCTAACTTTTCGCAATAACTAAACACCCCAAAACCACAGATTTGTCCAAACTCTTTTGTCCAACTGATTTTCAAAAATGCGTTCTTACTGGGAGTCTGTTTAAGTTGACTTTCGATTTGATTTCGGAGATTGTAAGATTCAATAAATTGGGAGACCTTTCTAGAAACGTCAAATTATTCATGACTGCAAAAGAAACAAAAGTCCTTGTTATTCAAGTAGCAAATTCATGTAATCTAGGTTAATACCCTTATTTATATCAATAATTCATACCATGTTGAATTCAATATTATCTACTTCAGGAAAGTTGACGTTTCCAATAATTCGAATTTTCGAAGGAAGATTAATGACTTTCTAGAAGCCGCAATAAATTTCTATTCAAGAAAACCTCTAGCTAAAATTAATTTTCACAATTGGAGAAGATTAGTATTATTCCTTAAAACCTTTATTGTTATTGAATTTAAACTTTTTTCTGGGGCTTTTTTCCCACTTCTGGAAGTCTCTCGTAGACCAAATATTTTTGTAATTACCTTCGGTATTTTTGTAAATCGATTGAACTTTGGTTTGCTGATTGTTTTGAAAACTATTCAAAATGTTTGTTTTCAGTTTTTCTTGAGAAAAAACTGGAACATTCCGTTTCATTCAAACCGTTTGGAACTTAACGAACAGTTCTTGTCTTTAGCTTCGTTTTAGTTTACGTCTTTTTGTCTTTCTTCGATTTCTGTCATTTGATAGTTTTTCTTCAATAAGACGTGACAAGATACGGAATTTATAATCTGGACTCGAAAGCGTAACCAAAGATTTCATGTTTCTTGCGCTGCAGATTCGCCTCGTCTTCTTTTGCTTGTTAACTCATCTGGAAATAAGAGTCATTTAATTTTTATTCTCCCGACGAATGATTAATTTTCTCGTCACGTTATCATCAAAATAATTGCACTCTTTCTTCTTTGGGTTGTTTCTCTTGGACCTCATAACTCAAGCTCTTAGTTACGGGGACGCCATCGCCGAGATCCACGGACAGACTGAAATGGGAGTCTCCAAAAAATGCCGTCTTGCTTGTTTTGCGTTTGAGAGGGGGAGGTCGCTTTTGTTTCTTGCCCTCTACAACCAAAAGCCCACCTCCGACGCAAAATCGGGCCGTTACTGTCTTAGCAATTATATTTTCGGGGATAGGAACACATCGACAAAATTTACTCCCTGTTGCTCCAGTCGCCGTACTCTTTGATTTTTGCCCGCGAATGCAAATGCTCCCATCTTCTATTTTCCAAGTCACTTCCTCAGGTTTATAGTTTCCAACTTCAAACGTAGCTATTCGTACGATTTCTGTACTTGCATCTGATAAGCTCTCTTCCAAATTTCCCTCTTTGAAAAAGTCGTCAAATAAATTTGAATTTACGATGTCGCAGTACATAGTCTCACTTCCGTTCAAACTGAAAAAAAAAAGGAAAAAATATAGCGATTACAATAAAATAACTGTTAACGATATCATAATATGTAATAAATCTTGCGATTTCATGGTTTTGCTGGCGGGAATCGTTATTATGTCACATGAATCATCTCTTATAGAAACACACCTCTATTTCTTTTACTTTCTTAAAAAGCAACAACATAAAAACGGAAATTTTAACTTCATTTTTCAATCTTTTTTTAAAGAGAAAGAATAAGTAGCCAATATAAGTATTGGTGTTCTTCTGTTGTTTTGTTTTAAGCACTTGGTAAATTTATTCAAAAACGAACTTCTATCTGTCTCCGGTGCTTCATCGAATATTACGAATCTTTTTAATTCAAGTCACCACCCCCCTCCCCCCAAAATACTCGTGAGTTCTAAATTTTAAGCTTTGGGATTATCCCGTTCTTAATCAGGAGCGTTTTTTTTAAAAGAAAGATTATACCAGATTCATAAACATTACTAGGTTCTACATAGTAGTGTAAACAAGATTGTCTAATCAATTTTGGCACGACCTTCTAAAGTGCTTGAGAAGTTTCTGGAAAGAGCTCAACAAACGACACGTGTTTTGAGCGCTGAAAAATTAGAAGAAAAACATTCTCTAAACCGAACTATATTTATAACCTTATCCATGCACAGAGGTATATAAGAATAAAAAGATTCACTGCTCGTGAATTAACGGAATTCATATTTGGACTTGCCTGAAATGAAATATAAAATCCTATCTTACGTTTTCCGTTCCAAACTAATAGTAATAATAATAATACTAAAAAATCTGTTGCCCTAAATTTATTTTTCAGATTCAATTTTAAAATGTTTTTGGGTTTTTAAGAGCTTTGGAAATCCATTTAGTTAGTACTAGAGGCTCCAATTACCTCGAAGTAGGGTTTTAGTCTAGAGTAAAATTCTTTTGTCCGCTGAACTGGACTTTCACTATTTTTGTCGCTTGCCATTTGGTTGGACGATAAATATAAGCGTTTCGTTTTAAAATTTATTCTCTGTCTTATATAAATCACTCATATCGACTGGCCTACTTGGTATGTTCGTCTAAAGTCTTTCTTAAGCAGCGAAAAATAATAAAAAATATATAGATATATTTATACATCTACTATTCTGCTCTTACCCATCTTGAAGAAGGTTGACCAATGTTTGGTGAGACTTTGAGTCAGCCATGTGCAGCTTGAAAATTTTCTGCTGCGGCTAGGAATTGCCCATAGATCTCAAAACATATCACAACCACTTTAGAGAGACAGTCCACAGAATATGTGGTTAGTAGGTGCACTTTCTAAAATTCTTTGAGGGGAATTCGTCTCACCCAGCCAAAACCATGTTATTGTGACGTTCCGGTCGGCGACCGAAGTTGACTAGAACGTTCCGACTATCTTTACAATGAAAAAACACGGAATTAGCATGAGTAAATACAAGCCTAGTCCAGTTGTCCCAGCACTTTCGAGCGTTGTTCGGGAGAGCCCATTGTCAGACAACTCTTGTAGCTTGTTTTCAAGACAATCGAAGATTCCAGATGGAGTTATTTCGAATTTTATGTCGCGAGAACAAATTCGCGCAAAGTTTCGGTGAAAATGAATGCATTTATTTACTGTAAGATGTTTGACAAGGCATATTTTGTTTCTTCCAGAAGTTTCTGCCGCGCGTTGCCCGCGGGGTTCGGATTGGTTGAGACGGTTTTCAATTGTGACCTGTTGTATGGCCGTTTTTATATCAATATTATTGGTCTTAAAAATCTAATTCCATGCGGAAAATAGAAATATCCGAACTGTGACCTGTTTTAACGTATCTTCTTTCTCAATTATTAGTTTTTGGCATTCCAATATTTTCTTTGATATTCAAGTTTGTGGCTTAGATAAGCGATTGCATGAGAGGGAGTTTAGATATTACGCTGCCTCGTCTACAAAGCAAACTAAAAATATTAAAGAAATGGAATTTTTTTTGCCAAATTTTGTATAAAGTTGAGCGCTTTTCTTTTCTCCATAAATATACCAAATTTTTAAAATTTTGTCTGATTCTGCTCAGATACAATTACCATTTCGTAAATCAGTCTAGCGTGTTGTTTTTATTTCGAAAAAGAGGGGAGTTTAGCTTTGTTTTGAATAGTTTGTTTTTTTGCCTCCTAGCTATCGAAAATGACTGGATAACAATTTCTTAAGGTAAATATTTCAATCAGTAGAACATGTGTACGAGTCAGTTAATAGTTGAATAGATTGTCTCGACATATCCTGAGTTATTATTGGACCAAATCATCGTATAATACCTGCTAAGATATTGGAAAGCCACCAGTTAGTTTGTCACTAAGTACCTCTCAGTAACATAAAGGCCACGGATGTTTAGTGGAGCGATTCAGTGATTATACATTATACCACTTGAACAGAGTCTGTTATAATATAAAGATATAAATATAAATAAATAAATATACGTTACGAAGCGGTAATTAACAGCGCTGCGCACACCCTACGAGAGAACAGGGCTAGGGGTGTTGGAGTTCGTCCTTAAGAGTGAAGTGGATGATCATGATTTTTCATTTTATTTTTATGATGAAGCAGATCCACCGCAAGTAACTAGAGTAGATATACTTGGGACGTCATGGAAAATACTCCAAGCAATTTTGTCATTTCTTAAACAGTCAATGTCATTAACGTTGTCCACCGAAAAAAGACATTTACACATTTACACACTATACACATTTAGACAAAAAGAAATATCACGTGTTTCCTCGAACGTTCTGGCATAAAACAAACGCTGAAATACAATTCTCCGTCTTAAATCCTCACTAAATGGTCGGGGCATTCTGGATTTTCGATTCATGAGTTGAATTTCAGGCTCACTTTAGTCTAAATGTGTAAATGTCTTTTTTCAGTGGACAACGTTAATGACATTGACTGTATATATATTTACTTCTCAGTTTAGATCGCTTTCATGTGATTGTTATTTCTCAAAGATGGTTCTATATTCGGCACTTCAAAATAGCTATGTCGTTACCGTCTTGATCGGTGAAGAAGCGGCGTTACGTGATACGGTTGATCAGAAATAGCATTATTCAGTCACGGTGTTGCAGTCGACTTAATCAGGAGTTTAGTTGTCAGGGACTACAAGACTTATAGACCTCGTGCGCTATAAACTTATAGCTCATTCTAGAGCGGTAGCAGACACATCCTCCTTGTGCTCAAAGGATGATGGATCGGACCGTGCGTTTCTTAGGATTGTTGTCGTTCAACGTGTGCCACAATCACAACAGGAAGCCCAATATCAGTAAACAGGAAGCCCAATCGCAAACAGGATAACCCCCACGAAACCCATGCACGTTACGGTGGACGGTTTCCCACCGTGTGCCCGCGATGCACATCAAAAAATATCAGACCGATCCCTGCTATGATTGAGTGTTTACCTAAACAATGGAAAGCTTTCCCAATGGAATACAGAATATTCGATCAACAAACTCGAATTCATAAGAATTTAAGGTAGTTATCTATTTTTTTTCTTAAAGGGACTCTGAGGTGCCAGACACATCATAGCTTAAAATGTACATCAAACCTTGTTGATTTTGAAAATCGAAATGAAAATTCCATGAAATG